TCTGCGGGTTAGAAGAAACGCCGGCTCTGAGCGAGTTGGAACACACCATCCATAGACGTAACCACGTCTCTGAAGTGGCGGCGGGGGGGGGGGGGACGCCTTAGGATTGCAGGAGTCACACTGAAATCTGGGGGCAATATGATCTGAAAAGGACATGTGCAATGGGAAAACGTGAAAAGCGTGCATTCTACGGGCAGAATATTATTGGAGGGGCGAAACCTCATTTTGGAAAACTTTGAGGAAATCTTCTGCCAAGCCCCTCCCCCTCAGAGCGGTTACACCCTGGACACCATATACCATCGAAAGCCAGCTCAGCTCAGTGCTCCTGCACTATCTCCATCTACGACAGTGCGCGGCGAACCAAGCCCGCCAGGACCGCCGGACGGTGCCGTCAAACGATCACGCCTTAAACCAGGGCGCGGTTTAGCAGGAGCAGGCGATTCGCCTCAGACACCGTCAAATATTAATGGGTTTCAGCATCGTGCCACCTCCATCTGGAGTGCTGATTACGTCTAGCTGAAGCAGGGCGTGGCCAACAGACTTCTCGAAATTCATAAAAAACGAAGCGCCTGCCGAAAAGTTAAGCTCCTGAGCGGTGCCCAAGGCGGGCGGCCCTTCCCTACGGATGAACCGGGCCCCTTCTTTTTCAGGCACACCGCAGGAAGAACCAGTATTTTTGAGACATCTCTGAGCATTCTCCTTAGCGAACAACAGCCTGACAGCGACCGACGTACGTCTCGTGAGCTCGGCGCCTCGAAGTGCGCAACCTCGCCCAGACCAGAGCGAGCACCGATGGTGACATGAATTCGCCCAGACCCAGAGCACCGAGGGCGACACGGATTCGCCCAGATCTGGAACACCGAAGGCGTCACGAATTCGCCCAGACCCAAAGCACCGCAGGCGACACGAATTCACCCAGACACAAAGCACCCAAGGTGACACGACTCGGGTGGCGCCCTCCTGGGCACGTTGGCGCCGCTCCCCTGCCACTCACCGAGCTGGTAAAAGTCGCTGAGCGTGACCTCTACACTACCCCGCTCCAGCTGGCCGCCGTACAGGAACAGCTGGCCGGCGCGAGCCGCCAGGCCGGCCCGGGCGCGCGGCGACGGCGCCGCCACCGCCGCCGCCTCCTCCTCGATCGACATCGCTTCCAGCTGCTCGGCGGGGTCACCGCTGCCCGATGCCGCCGCTGCCGCCGGCTCGGGGGCCGGGTCGTCTGCCGCGCGGCGACGGCGCCGCCGCCGGGCGGGGTCCCGCCGGCCAGAGAGGGTCACTGACGGAGACGGATGAGCGTCAGGTGGCGAGCTCTGAGCAGCGAGTCAGGTCAGCTCGTACGGCCAGCACCAGCTCCGAGCCGGCGCACTGCACATCCAAGCACGCGCCGTGAAAACATCGGATGAGCGTCGGTGCCAGCTGGATGCCAGCGCATGCCGCGGCAAGATCGGGCCACAGCCTGTCGATTCCGACACATGCTGTACGCGGATTGGATCAGAGCTAGCGCCCCTGGATCCCACGAGGCGCCTCATCCAGCTCACCTGTGTGCCAGACGCCCTTGCCGGCGTCGAGCATGTACATGTCGTTGAAGAAGGTACCCTTGAGTTTGTCGTCACTCTCTTCGTCTGTGACGCCTGCGGGAAGACATGTATGTCACCCATCAGCGATCCCAAACATACCCGAGCGACACCCAGCTGCCACGTGACGACGCATTCGGTGCCAGACATGGCGCCCAAGACATGAAAAACATTTTAAAATAGTTCGAAGAAAACGACTTGCCATCGACCGTCCATCGTTCCCCACACAGCCGGGCTGCAGCCTCATTGGCGGGGCTGCAGCCTGCCTCCACACCGGCCCGGCTCCGCCGCCCCAGCTGCCTGCTGTTCAGAGCTGGCTCCCGTCCGCTCACGCGACGGAACCGAACAGAACTGGCAGCGAGGGGACGGGACGGGGGGGGGGGGGGGCAAACCAGCGAGACGTCATCTCCGGAGGAATAGCGGTGCGAACAGAAGGACCAAGATGTGATAGGAGGCATGGCACAGTGCAGCACGGCATAGCACGGCATGGCATAACAAAGTACGGTATGGCATAGCGCGGCATGACAAAACGCGGCATGTTATAGCACGGCACAACACAGCACGAGACACTGCACACCACAGCTGGCACAACACAATACCGCACAGCACAACATAACACAGCACAGCACGACAAAGCGCACACAGCACGACATAACACAGTACGGCACGACGCAGCACAGCACAGCAAAACACGTCACGGCACGACACAGCACAGTGCAGGAGACAAGGCCGGGAGCGTACGGGCCGCATCGCATCAGGCCGCCTCACCTCCGAAGAAGAGCACGCTGTCGCCGCGCACGAGGCAGCCGCTCATGCCGCTGCGGTGCGAGGGCCGCGCGCCGCTCTGCTTCACCTGGCTCCAGCGCCAGCGCGTCAGGCTCAGGTCGTGCTCTGAAGCGAGCCGAGCGGCCGGGCGTCGGTTAGGCGGCGAACTATACAGCTCCGGTGGGGTTGGGGGGTCCAGGCTGGGCCGGGGCGTCACGCGTGTGTCACGGAGCCAACTGTCCAGCTCCGAGGAGGGCGGGGGTCCGGGGCGTCACGCGTGTGTCACGGAGCCAACTGTCCAGCTCCCGAGGAGGGCGGGGGTCCGGGACGTCACGCGTGTGTCACGCAGGCGACTGTCGGACTCGCGGCGGGTTCTGGAGCGGCCAACAGTGCCTGACGCAAAGGAGGGTCCGAAACAGAACAAGCCACAGTGACCCGGTTCATACACCTGGGTCAGACATCGGTTACGCTTGAACACCCGACACCTCCGACCAACCAAAACTATTCACACTATGCTATGGTCGTGGTATAAGTGATAGCACAAACCAGGGCTGTCAGCACCAATGCAGCAAGGTTGTTTACTTGTGCGCACTGCGTTAAAACGGCTGAGGGTTAGCGTTTTAGCCACGCATCAACAGAGCGGTTGCAGAAATATGTTCACAGAACACCCAACGGTAATCAGCTGACCCGTCTTAACGACCATCAGAGTGCACATGGACGTCTAAAAAAGTTATCCTACAAAAGCAGCCCCCATTCTGCCCGTCCAAACCTCAAAAAGCGTTTTTAACGAAATGGCACACAGGCCTTTTCGCCTTACGACGGTCATATTCTTTCCAACGCTCACATGGCATCCCCATAGCATCAGATGTTCTCACGGACGGCACCACAAGTCCTCCCCAGGCTCGCCCACGCGGCCCGCCCGCCTCTCGGCTTCCGGGTTGCAGCTGGCAGTGGTGACCGCGAACCGGGCACCTCCCACCGGCCGGTACTCACTGTCCGGTGTCAGCCGGTACATGTCGCTGAAACGTGGTGCCCTTCTCCACGTTCTTCTTCACCTTCTCCTTGCAGTAGCCGCCGTAGACGAGGCACGCGGCCGTCGGCCAGCGCCAGCATGGCCACGCTCGAGCGGGCCGACGGGCCCTGACCTGGCGGGCACGGTGTGCGGTGAGCAGGCAGCCAGAGGCGGCATCGCCGGGGCGGAGGGGACGGTCAACGGGGCGGAGGGGATGGCGCCGGGGCGGAGGGGATGGTACAGAAGCGGAGAGCACGGTACCGGGCCAGAGAGGATGGGCACCGGAGCGGAGGGGGATGGTACCCGGAGCGCAGGGCACGGTACCGGGGCGGAGGGGATGGTACCGGATCGGAGGGCACGGTAACGGGGCGGAGGGGATGGTACGGAGGAACGCACGGCACCGGGGGGCAGAGGGGCACGACACCGAGGGGGGGGGGGGGGGAGGGAAGGGGTATGGGCAGCGGCACCGTGGAGAAGCGCTGACACTACCAAAAGACTGGCACAACTAGCATCAGCGTGAGGGGCGAACGAATCGGCACAAACAAGGTCGGGTACCGGCGTGTCCGAGGCACTTTAGCAGGCAATTTTGTCTGAGCCACGTACAACAACGAGAGATCCAATTTGCACTGCTCCCTAACCCGTCCTATCACCGGATACCCTCAGTATACACCCCTCCCACTCCCGTCCTCTCACCAGTCACCTCCAGTTTGACACCCCTCCCGCTCCCGTCCTCTCACCGGACACCTCCAATTTGCGCCACTCGCGCCTGTCGATATCGAACGCGTGCAGATCGTTGAAGTACTGGAAGCTCTGCAGGTTGTCGTGGAACCCGCCGAACACGATCAGCTGCTTCTGGTAGTAGACCATCCTGTGGCCGCTGCGAGCGGACGGGCCGCCCGCCGCGCTGGAAAGTCGAGCGGTCCGGTCAGCACCGTTCAGGCACATGGGACGCGGGGATGGCACGCTTGGCTAACGACCGTGAGGGCGTGAGGTCGACGCTCAGTGTGGCGCTGTGCTTCGGTGCGCCCAGCTGAAATCCGCATAGACTGTTTAAACGACGTAAAGGGGCTGAACGTTATCGTCGAGGCGCCATGCTTCGCTATTTTGACTCGATATTTTGCCGCGCAGCAAACTGACTTAGTCTTTCCATTTTACGACATATCGACCTGCTGTGCTCATTAGCGCGGCTCATGTGCTATGACACGAGCAATGACTGCACCACACAATTAGTCCGGCATTCTGATCACCGAATAATGCAGGTTAATGCTACGGATACCAGAATCGATTTCTGCCAGAAACAAGCGGAGTAAAATACAATGTAATTAGACAAGTCCCGAACCCTCCGCGTCGTAAGGTCTACGCACGGACAATAATTTTCGCAATGTGCTGGACTTACTATCTACCCCAATCACTGTTCAAAAGGTTTAGTCCCAACCTACTCATCGCATGGAGCTTGGAAGCACTGCACGCCCGGTGCAGTGTTTCTTGCGTGAGGCCTTGCCCACCCTGACCGTGAAATTACGGGTCAAAAGCAGAATTCGGTGGCGAAGTTTTAACGTCCTGGAATGCCCGGTACGGTCCTTGCTACCTATACCAGCTCGCGGCTGCTGCCATCAACCGTAGGTTATCCCAGTCAAGGGCAAAAAGCGAGCGCATGAACCTTCTCAAACCTGCCCCACCACGGGGAGGTGAATGAGAAGGCATGTGCTCTAACCAACAGAGCTATTAGGATGGACAGTGATGGCTCCGGGAATGTTGATGGTGGAGTGGTGACTGGTTCAGCGCGTGGCTGCCAGCGTGTGCCATCCACCTGATCTTCTCCCAGCGCCGTGCGTTGGTGTGCAGGCACCAGAGGTCGCGGTAGTGGTGGAACTGCTCGCCGCTGGGACTGGAGAACTCGCCGCCGAACAGCCAGAGCTGGCCCCCGCCGAGCGGCGCCGCCACGGCCGCGTGCGCGCAGCGCGGCGGCGGGCCGCGCGGGTACTGCAGCAGGCGCCACTCCGCCGCCCGGCACCGGTACTGGTACAGATCGCCGAACACCGTCGTCTGCCGGACGAGCAGCCGCGAGCTGGTACAGGTCACTCTGCAGTGTCAGTTGTCATTGTCATTGGGGCTTTACAATGCATTCAGCTAATGAGGACTAATAGCATCTCCTGCCTCTCACCATGGTAGGAAGGACAGGCACCACAGAGGATCAAACACCTGCCTACATTTTCAGTCATGCTGCTTAACCACCGCACTAGGTACTGGTGCCCCAGTCCAGTGATCATAGAGGCTGATAGTACACAACATAGTGGAGAGCGACAAGATTATGGATGCACACCTCAATAACAATGCAATCCAACAGGATTCACTCACATGAAATGTGCAACAAACACCTCAGTCACCTCTTCTTGAGGAAGAAATGATGTAGTGTTATAATGAAAGTGTGTAAATGATGATGAGTGCTGTTTGAAGCACATAAATACAAAACATTCTAAAAAAAACATCCTGACATATGCATAGGTTCACAAAATAAGTTGAGAAACTGAACAGTAAAAAATGACTCAACCTTACCTCAGAATTAATAACAAATGGGTTATTTTTAAGATTTAGTGCACTTTTTCTCAAAGTTGGGATAGCTGAAGACCAATTTGGGGATGGAGGTAGAGGCAGAGATGGGGGTGGGAGTGAAGGGTGAGGTACAGCCAGCCTTGTAAGTGGATAGGACACTAAGCCCCTGCATATCAAGGACTGTTTGATATCATCAACTGGCCAGTATATTCTGGTATGTTAATTATCAGTTATTATGAGCAAAATCAGTCACATTCATACAGCTTATTTAAAAATTTTCTCACATTTTTGCCATTGAAATATTCACCACCATACAGCAGAATCTCATCCCTTTCAGGATGGGCACACATGGTAAAACTGCTTCTGGCTGGTGGTGGTGGTGAAACCTTTTCTACAATCTCTTTCTTCAGCTCTTCCTCAGCCACCAAACGGCCAATCATCAGCTCCACACTTTCCTGGAGAAGAAAATGTTGGATTTCACATAACCATAAACCTTTGCAAAAGATGACTTACCAAGTAGACCAAGGTGGCTTGCAAGTCTGAATGGTAGAGAATTCACTAGCTACTGAACAATGGCAGTAAACCTACCCAGGAGTTTGAGATTAGCTGACATGCACTGGCAGGCCTAGTTGCTATGCCATAGTCACATTAGCACAAACTGACAATAACATACTTTTTATCAACATTTGCCCAAGTAAGAGTGAGTATGCACAACATTTCTGAGTTAAAAAATAATGTTGTTATGATCTTCAAAAAAGATACTAGACTCATAATCTGACAGAACATAGTAATGACATGTTGCATACTTCTCCTTTCTTGGTTAGCTGCTTCTTTAATTTCTTGGACAAATTCTTTTCAGTTTTTGCTGCAGTTTTTTCTATACCCTGGCCCTTTCTTTTTCTTATCTTTTTTCCCCATTTTGACCAACTTGTTTTCTTTGCCAAGAATGCAGTTATCCTGAAAAACAATTCAACAGAATATTCACATGGCCCACATACAGTACATGGCAAGGAGCAAGTGGAATGCAATCATAGAAAACATAAAATCTGCTGCAGGAGAGCCAGATGATGTCATATAGCCTTAGAGACTGTGTGTGTATAACAGCCACAATGACCACATCAGGCATTCCTAGGCTTCAGTGTTAGCACAAGTTTGTTTTTTTAAACAACCTGGCATATTCATCAATCACGAAGATGCATTACATCTGGGCATCTCCGCTACACAAACTTGTTCCGATGCTCCATTCCCACACCCCATACCGGCGCTGCTGGGTGTTCTCACAACGAAACCAGGGAGTTGATCAATCCAAAAATGCGCGCAGTAACTCACCAGTCGTTCTTAAAAACGGCTGAAATACAGAGGATTAATGAAAACGCCAACTACTGCACCGGCCCCATACGATGATCAAACCCACTCAACCAAGCCTAACAAACTAAACCCCACCCGAACACCCAGACATCCCACTACGGGCACACACCACGTGTTTGTCGAATTAAAAGCCTCGCGATCCTTGGCCTTGAAAACCGATTCACATGCTGGTAGAAATAGTAGAGAATCTTACCACACAGATGTCAACGCGTGGCACAAAGTGATTATGCATTTACGATTAGACTTCTATTTGAGTACATTATATTTTTTTAAAAAGTAATTATTTGGTTTTTTAAGGTTGCTTTTATTAAATAGAACCGAAATTAGGAGTAAATATTGATAAGATAATTTCAGTATATTACATATTTCGTCATCAAAAGACCACCGAAACATAGCCTACTTCCGGTAGAATGCCTGTGCCGAGTGACGAACCGCAGCTGTGACAAATAAGCGGCTTTGCTTTTACGGATGCTTTACGGTTCGTCGGTCGTGGTGTTGTCTTTTCCGGGCGGTTGCGAGGGGGTTAATTAATTGCACAAAATTGTGAACTTTGCTCACTATCTGGGTGTTCGTGCATCGCTCCACAGGTGTGAGCTGCTACTAGGCTAATCAGCACAGAAGCCAAGTGAAAATGCATTACGTAAATTTGTGCGCTGTTATCGTGGTGAGTAATAGCAAGCTACGTGGGAGTTCGTGCGGGCCATTGGAGCCTGCCGCCGTTTTATTTCCAGAGTGTGTTGTGGGTACTTGACTTCGGTGAAGTCATGACAAGCAGGAATTTATCCTTAAGATGGTGATAGCAGGCTCCGTGGAGCAGACCCTGCGACTCAGCCACTGCTAACTATGATGAGTTGATTAACCCGCCCAGGTAGCGACATGACTGGGGTAGACCTATTTGTAGACCTGCCTTGGGATTATGTATTCCAGGGAGGTAGATACTTACCATGCATCTCTGAACTTTGATGTATCACTTGCTGCCTTGTTTGCCACCTTGCAGACATGCACTTATTACTAAGAGCTTGAAAACATCCCATGAGCCAATTAACTTGGAACCTTATGTCATCCTGGATCCATCCTTGTAATTGGCGCACATGGGTGTAAATTGTGGTAAACATGCTCAAATATATGCATAATACACCTATGTATCACAAGATAGCTGGTCACAGATAAAGTATGATAGTGTATGATGTGCCTTTTGTTGTTGTCTGCTGTAACTCAACGTATGATCTCGTTTTTATTCTTGTCAGATATCTGTAAAGTGAAAAAAGATATATCACCTGACTACCAATCTTCAATTATGTGACTTTAACCACAACCCATAGATTTGGATACTATTTTGTCCAACTTGTATCTGGTGCTTCTTCTTCTAAAGCTTGAGAACATTGGATAAGACACTGTGGTAGATGCACCAAGGTAGTCTAACAATGGTAATATCAAGTTCCATTTTCTTTATATTGAGTTATGATAATTGTAGCAATTGTTTTTGCCATGTTCTCAAAACCTTAAACCTCCTACACAAACAAATGTAAATTTGAGGGAGGTATAGGGTAATAACCCACATAATTTATCAGAAAGTATGATATGGTCTCAACAACACATCACTGACTTGACCAAATGGTAATTCTACCCTTCTCTGTTCATGGAAAGTTTCCACCTTTCACCCATGGCCAGCAACATTATTGTCCAGTGTCACATCTTTCCAGTTCCACATTTCCCGCATTGCCTCTCAGTCTGGAACAGGTTGCTGCCTAACATTTGCACAGAGTGCAACATGTGATCTTTGGGCTAGGGTCATCTCAGGGATTTGTGTTTGTGATTGTTTTCACTGACATGCAGGTGCCTGAGTTGGTGGGATGTGTGTGACTACGTCACACACCCTGACAACATCCGCACGTGCAGGGTGCCTAGAGATCTCAGGGCTCCTAAGGCCATGCACCTGTTACATATGTGCTGCTGTCTCATAGGGCACTACTCTGATGATGTCAGTAGGCATGCTGAAGCTGCCAGCTTCTTTTTGCGTCTTTGTGTCCTGCCATATGTTTTATTACTGACGATTTCATGAAATCCCACAATTTCACGGCAGTTAGATATCATTGCTTATGCTGTTATTGTTTACAGCAATTACTGGCTGTTCTACAGCCAATACATGGAAGCTCTTTGCAGCTGACAGAAGACAACTTTGACAAAGTGATAGGTAAGAAATTTATATTTGAAGCAGTGTGTTGTGAAATGAGTTGTGAAGCAAAACTATCGTGGTGTGATATGCGTAAGCAAAGTGATGTAATGGTACTGAGTATGTTTAGGCATACAAAGGACTACTTTAAAACATAGTCACGGTGTAGACCAAAGCTGACCATGTTGTAGCCAATTTAGCTTCAATCTGCAGTGTGACCAAGTCAGATTTTGTATGTGATAAGCTTTTGTGATATGAGAAGTCCAGTAATGAGATTAAGGTACATGAACAATCATTAATTATGAAACATTGTATCCAACAGCTTCAACTGAGCTGGTGCTGGTAAACTTCTATGCCGACTGGTGCCGCTTTAGCAACATGCTGGAACCGATTTGGGATGAAGGTGCAGACCTGGTGTCCAAGAAACTGGACAAGAATCGAGTCATAATGGCGAAGGTGGACTGTGATAAAGAAGGTAGGTGTGCAATGCTTCTGAATGGAAGACATTATTTAGTCCCACCAGACTGTGGCATGCCTTTTCCGATGGTTTCGATGTTCCTCTTTCGGTGGCCGATGACCTTGGCGATGACGATTTCGACTAAGTCTAATAGCTGGAGTGGGAAAAAATGAATGGCATGCTGGTTTGCCACCCATAACCAAACTATGTTTTACCTCATCCCATAAGGCTGGCCTGGTAAGCCAACCTGAGCGAGTGCAAGTAAATTTTGTCCAGGTATGTGCAGTATGGTAATACATTTGTAACAGGGCCAGGTCAGGTCAAACCACACGATGATGTGCGTCCAAAGTGTGCGGTGGTCAGTTCGGGTCGGTACGTTGCCAGCACGAAAAACCAACGCAGGCAGCGGTCGACGTGCGTTGCAGTGACCGTAGTCAGCCCTGCTTAACCAGCATCCAAACCTCGCCCGCCTCCGGCTGGCGCCACAGAACCTGTCTGGCGTCACTCCAGTTACGGGCGCCGTTTGACCGCGCTGCCACGGTACCCGAAAGCCCAAGTGATCGGTGTGCGTGTTGTGGTGTTGTTTTCATGGTCGCAAGCCTCGGGAGTACGGTGCGAGGGTCTGTGGTCCGCCCTCGTAAAGGGAGTGTTCCACATTTGTATGAGGTTTTGAACTGAAATAGTGATCTTGAAGATCATTTGGTGCATTTCACAGCCCTGCTGTCCTCAAGACCTGAGGCCCTTTCATGTTAAGAGATTATGATGTTCTGTCCTGGTATCGGTGAGATCCATGGGTTTTCCATGGATTGCTATATCCTTTTCCCTCGGATTGAGTTGCATTTTTCCTGTTCTTGCAACAACTCCGTCATCCCAGTGATAGGGGTAGTGGTCAGAGCGCCGGCCCGGGCGATCAGTGAGCGTCGTACTCAGTGGGGTCGAGGGTCACCAGTGGGTGGGTCTGACTCCCACTTCACCAGTGAGTGGATCTGGCTCCCACCTCATCGGTGAGTGGGTCTGACTCCCACCTCGCCAGTGAGTGGGTCTGACCCCCACCTTGCCAGTGGGTGAGTCTGACTCCTACTTCACCAGTGAATGGATCTGGCTCCCACCTCATCGGTGAGTGGATCTGACTCCCACCTTGCCAGTGGGTGGGTCTGGCTCCCACCTCACCAAGGAGAGGTCGGACTCCCACCTAAGGCGTTGTATATCCTCGACGAAGAGGAGAAAGCTTTTTACCGACCGCCAATGTCGTGGCCTTACGTGACACGTTAGAAATTCACTTTGCTAAGTATTTGAATAATAAGGCTAAATATCTTATAGTCTCGACTCACACACTTCGGTGGCGCGGTCAGTGCCCTCGCAACACATGAGCCCCCCCCCCCCCCCCCCGTCCTTAGTATGGGGCCTAATCCGAAACGGCATCCGTGCAAACAATGAATGCGAATGAAGTTCAGGACATTTAGATGTAACTTAACGTTGAAAGCCAGGAGAAAGTCTCTTTGCCACAGTCACGGCAAGTCACGGTTTGCATCGGAGATCTATCGGAGATTAACGTCAGACGTGTTCGAAACGTATGATCTGCTCAGGACCACTTCCTTTTCTTTTTTCTTTTTTTGCCGGCTTCTAAGAAAGAGGACAGGGCTGTGGAAAATCACCGTAAGAACTGCATCGCACAGTGCAAAGCTGATGAAATGTATCGACGTATGCACGTGCACTCTTAATGTGAAAGAGCGCTCGTAATAATTTTTTTGCATACTCGTTCTTTTACATTTCCGGTTTCGTGGAACCTGGAGTGGCGCGAAGAGGTTTGCACGCTTATTGCCAATATCCTTGCCAACGAGTTAAAATGAAGAATCGCCTTGCATTTTTGTAATATTTGGTCCAGAGATTTTGATTGCATGCATATCTGGGATCAGAGTTTACAGATATGCAGTGCTCGTCGCGGAGTCCTTATACAACCATCTGGTAATAGATGTACGGCCCTTGGTGGGTTTTTGCAGTGAAAGCTTGCGCTAATCACCTGAGGTACTGGTATGGCCATCTGTTTCCAAACGTGGCGCTATGAAGCCGCTACTGCGTCCCAAATATCAAATATGTGGATGCATTGACCTGAGTACAAATATCGTCATAACTGACTGGCCTGCTGCGTTGACCACACGTACGAGAATAAGCTACAACACTGTACCCGTACTGCTTGAGACTGCTGACTCATAGTCCGCAGCTGCGACTTTCAGTCAGAGGGGTGGACTCGCAGTCCACAGCGGCCAAGCCCGATGATAAAACCCCGTGTGTGCCACCCCAAATAGAAACCGCGGTGAATTGTCGGCCGTGGCGCGGCGCGGCGCAGCCTTTCACCGGCGTCCGCTGCGGGGCCAGATCCGTCCGCGGTCGGCGGTCGTGACGGGGTTTGGCGCGGCCGCCGGCGCGCGGTACGTCCGCCGCCGTCGCCGCCGGCCGGCATCGCGCCGGACCGGACGCCGCGAGACCGGCATAACCGCTCTCGCCGCCGTGGCGGCGGTCATGACCGGCTGACCCTCTGCTCTCGTCGGCTCGACGGCGGAGACGGAGCCGCCGGCGGAGGGAGCTGCCCAGCGGAGGCGTGGGAGATGGCGTGGAGGAGGCGTGAACGGGGTAATGCCGTTCGCTGTGGCGCACGCGGCCCGCCGCTCGCGGGGTCCGCCGCCTTGGTAGCGTTCCGTGTCGGTCGGCGATCCCTGCCGGGCCGGCGGTGTGACCCGCTGCCTGCGGCCGGCGCGGGCAGGTCGGGCCGCACCGGTACGCCGCCTGGCCGGCGGACGACGCCGGACGGACCGGTCTGGTCCGGGCTGTCTCTCGCCAATCTGGCCCGGGCCGCCTCTCTCGCGGCAGGATCGGTCGCCCGGTCCGACCGGTTCGGCCGTCCCCTCCCCCCCCCCCCCCTCTCCCGCCGGAGTCAGCGCCTCTGAGCTGCTGCGGCCGGGAGGGGGCGGGGGCGGGGGGAGGGGGTCTCCCGCCCCACTAAGACGGTGGTCTCGGTTAACTGGGGAGGGAACGAGAAACGCTTGGTTTATGCGGTGATCATTAGGTGTAGGTCACTTGCTAGCCTTGAAAACCTGGTCCGTTCCGTAGTATGCTCATGATGGCTAATCAAAGCATGCCGTTGCGTCATTTTACATTTATCCACGGCTACTCGGTTCTTTTTTACCTTACTTCAGCATTAGTCTGTACAATGGCATGGATTGGCGGGAGGAGGCAAGGACACACCGAATGTCCGAGAAGCAATAATGTGACGTTCGCGTCAAGACCGGCAGCCGCCGGCGTAAAGTGGCGTAACGGAGCCCGTGTTACAAAGTTGAGCAATAGCAGCTTAGTAACTGCCGCCGTTTCGACCCTGCGTGAGTTCACGCCGGAATAGTCTGTCGCAACCGTGCGTGCGGATGTGGGGAAAACGTACCCGCTGGCGCGATGACGCACGACCTTTCCGATGGGACGTGGTGTGACCGAGGTGGAGTGAGGTCACATGTCACGTAGCTAGAGAATGTTTCGTTGTCGCGTTTCGTTCACCGCATGTTTGACCGTCCGCTACCTTGGCTATTTTGCGTTGATGCCTTTGCAGTTACGTGCAGAAAAAGTATTCTGCGTTATTGCTGTCGCGTCGGTTTAGTTTTTTGAGGTTCATGTTTTTATTTTTGTAATTATTGTGCACGTACGACTAGGGTTGATCGGAGATGGACAGAACCGGTATAACAAGACAGAGTGCTGTGCTGGAAACGTGGCCGTCCTCCCCCTTTTCACTTGTCGTGTGTCTGCCTTCCTTGAATCCTGCGGAAAAGCGACACGACAAGTTTCTGGACTGGTTTTCTCCGTGCTGTGTTCGTTCATAATTTTCTACGCTATTCGTTCGGTGCGACAATCAACTGCACGCTGCCTGTCAGAAGTCATCCGTTCGTAACTATGGACGAACCCATTTCCACGTCAAGTGACTGCTTCAAAGCCCCTGCGACACTTCAGACTGTAACGCCCGTCAAGTTGGCTTCCGGTCCGTTTGGCACGCCGGAATGGCGTAGTGTTGGCAGTATGCGAACATAACTTTGCGACCCAGCCGTCTCCTTCACACTGCCTTTGTACACATCGTCCGCGCTCGAAACTCCTGCGTCCCAAATTAAAGCAATGTCACGTCGCACCCTTGATTCGAGGCAGCGTTACGACCCGATGTGTCGATGCTCGTGTTGTTGCGTGACATATGTAATGACATCCAATGTGGCCCACGTGACCAGGCCTTGACTTCCGCCTCCCTTCGGCAGAAAAGATTGCGAGTCGGTTCCACATCAGCAAGTACCCGACGCTGAAACTGATACGCAACGGCCATCCGGCCAAGAAGGAGTACCGCGGACAGCGCAGCGCCGAGTCGTTCCTCAAGTTCCTCGAGGAGGAGGTTCGCGACCCGGTCAAGGTCATCAACTCCACCGACGACCTGACCGAGGTAGGCGCGGCGCCCTGGGCGCCCCAGCGCCCCAACGCCGCAGCAACGCGCCGGTGGCGTTCGTGTGCCAAGTGGCGTAGCTTTCTGTGTCAGCGATGGGCGAAGTGAGCGAGCTATTTCTGGGCATCATCAATGCTGTGTGGCGTGCAGATCTCTGGCGGCTTTGCTATGTCATTACCAGTAGACTGCAGTGCAGCTTGCTGCATTGGTTTTGCGGTATGTACGACTCATTGCAGTATGTGAACCCCTGCCAGGGAGTGTTTCAATGTCGTAGGAGGTGATCTGTTAATTGCGTTCGTTTGCTGCAAAACGTGCAAATGTATTGCAATATGAATAGTGCGTAGGGTTGTTGCATGACAAGAGGTCTTCCTGGTGTCGGCTAGAATAACGAAACTAAAGAAGTCCCCCTATTGTGTTCTGTTTTGTTGTGCTCAATCTTTTTGTTCTTTTCCAGGAAAAGAAGGGGCAAGTAATTGGGTACTTCAGCAGCCAAGATACCAGCACGTACCAGTCGTTTATGAAAATGGCCATGGCCTTGAAAGACGAATGCGTTATGATCGCCGGCTTCGGGTATGTGGTCCGAAATGCATCTTTTTCACAATCTGGGCTTTATGTTTTATGCAGACGTGTTAAAGGGCAGTGCCCTTACGGCAGGACTTGTTGCTATGGGGACTCCGGAACAAGGCTTTTACCAGTATGTTGCAGTGTTGTCAGGTGCAAGCGAGTATCAGCTCTTAATAATGAAAGACAGCGACAGCTGGCGCTCAAGATCTGGCCAGCTGATACTGTTTGTCCCACTGCTTATTATAAAGTTTGTTTTGCAGTTAGTGTTTCATGATTGGTTCAGTAACATTTCACCCACAGCCACAAAAACTTCCGGCATGACAGCCCCCCTTCCCGCCGTCCACGTATGTTGGTCTGCGATGCTCAGCCCGCGCGTCTAGCACCGCTAGAGGCACGCTCGGAAGACGTGCCGCAGTCGCGACGGTGCGCGACTGACGTGGCGCGCGCAGTGCCGTGCGGCGTGTGACGGGGCGTGACGCGCGCCCCTAGGGAGCCGTTCCGGCCGTTCATGCCCGGCGGCCAGGACCTGGTGATAGTGCGCAAGCCGAGCTCCACCGACGACATCGCCATGCCCCAGATCGACATCACGGACACGGAGCGGCTGACCGACTGGGCGCGCCGCACCTGCGTGCCGCTGGTGGGTGGCGCGCGCCGCGCCGCGCCGCGCCGTGCCGGCCCCCGCGCGCCGCGCGGGCCGGCGCGAGGGATGTCCGGACCGGGACGCGGTGGTTGTGCTCGAGCGGTGGCCTTGAGGCGGTGAATGTCACGGGTGGCGGGGAGACAGCGGAATGGGGGGAGAGCGCTCGCCGCCCCATTCGGGAGAGTGGTCACTTGGCGGATGGCTTGAGCGCGTGGCATGCGGCGTACTGAGGACTGGCGTGACCTTGCGCATTTAGGGGTCATTTCACGCCAGGTCTGTGATTGTAAATTGCACATAATGTACGACGTAGTAAAACGACGTAAATGCGTCATTTATGCCGTGAAACCGTATACGCCTGAAATTACAGCACAAACGTGTATAAATGACGACGCAATTCAGCGGCCTATCATGTTTACCGATCTGACGAGTGAATCCGATGGCCGGGCTGTGTTATGGATCGGCTGGCGGCGCGGTTGGCTGTAGGACTGGCGCACGCAAAACACGCCGAGCCTGACTGGTCCCGTCGACCGACGTCCGTCCGCCAGGTGCGGGAGATCACCTTCGAGAACGCGGAGGAGCTGACCGAGGAGGGGCTGCCCTTCCTCATTCTCTTCCACATGCCGGACGACACGGAGACGCCCAAGCGGTTCCTGCACATGGTCGAGGATGAGCTGTACACCGAGAAAGGTGAGCGTGCCGCCGCCGCCGCCTTGCGGCGGTTCGGGCATGTTGCGAGACAGGCTGGCGTGGGTCCGCGCTGACCCGACCCAGCCCCTGCCCCTCAGAGGGGCTGCCCCTGCGCCAGTCCTGCGGTGGCCGCTGCTCCGCCGTGGCCCGACCCCCGTCTCTCCGGTGTCCAGCAGCGACGGCTAATCGGTGTCACGGGACCTGCCGTCTGTGAGAGGAAGGCTCGTGTGTCGGTCACACGCTCAGAGAGGAACCCGTGCATTCGACTGACCTGCCCCGACTCTCGTACCTCGCAGAGGGGATCCAGTTTTTGACGGCGGACGGCTTGACGTTCGCCCACCCGCTGCAGCACCTCGGCAAGTCCAAGGCGGACCTGCCGCTAATAGCCATCGACAGCTTCCGGCATATGTATGTCTTCCCCGATATCAAGGTGAGCCGACTGTAGCGCTGCTGGCGGCAGGTCAGTGAGCTGGCGGCCGGTGGACTCTCATGGCTGAGGGGAGGTGTCCGGCGACGCGGGTACTCGGTCTCAGGGAGTGTCGTGCTTTGCGATTTTATGGTTTACGGCACTAGTGGTAGATAGCCTGATGTGGTGGGGCAAGTACTGAGAGAGACTTGTAAACCTTGTGGGACTTGGCAAGCCTTGTTTGATGTGAACTCGTTTGTTATTATTCTGTTGTGTCCCTATTCCGCTTTTTGGCGTCCACAGTACGGTCCGAACGGGCCGTCTTGTGGACAGAACATCACGATGTTTTAGAAGTGTCAAACCTCAGCGCAGTGCGTCTTGATGTTGGTTGGGATCCAGCTGACCAGATACCGACTGATAACATTGGACGGTAGTTTGTCTGGGCGCAAAATGACCCCAGAAGTCGGCGCGCCCGAGAACCCCAATCATCGTCATCATCACAGTAGTTTGTCGCAATTGTTTCAACCAAAGGCTCTAAAGTATGGAATGGGTGTCACCAGTGAAGCCAACGCCATTTAGTATGGAAATTGAGTTTTAGCCAACATCATATGTGCAGCATTTCCGAGTACTACCAATGCATTGCACGCTAGCGTATTGGCACAAAGCCCATGCAAAATGTGAGCGTTCATACGTGGATACTAAATGCGAAGAACCGCGTGCGGTGGTCGGTGGATGAAATCGCTGCCTTGATGTAAACGCTCTAACTAAGCTCACCACTTGCGCTGCGGCCTTCAGTTACAGTGACGCTGGGGTTGACGTCAATAAAACCACGCTCGCGTAATCCCCCCCCCCCCCCATAGCGATCAGCTTTCCGAATCTTCTGTTAGCCGTTCTTTTCCGCCGATAACGGCGAGAGACGCCCGCACCGCCGCCCCATGTCGTAGTGGGGCCTCCCCCTCCCAGCGGGGTCTCGTTCTCCCAGCGGGGCCCCGCGCTCCCAGTGGACATCTCTCCCAGCAAGGCTTCCTCTCCCAACAGGTCTTCTCCTCCCAACAGGGCCTCCCTACCAGCGGGATTTCCCCTTCCCAACGGGACCTCCCCTCCGAGTGGAACTTCCCCTCCCAGCGGGGTTTCGCCTTCCCAGCGGGACCTCCCCTCACCGGCCGCCGGCCGCCGGCAGGACATGGAGACGCCCGGCAAGCTGCAGGACTTCATCGCCGACCTGCACTCGGGCAAACTACATCGCGAGTTCCATTACGGCGTGCAGGAGCCGGCGGCGCCGGCGGCGGCGGCACCGGCGCCGGCGCCGACGCGCGGCCAGAAGCCGGCGCCGCCGCCCACCTCGCCGCCCGAGTCCGTCTTCAAGAAGCTGGGCCCGTCCGGAAACCGATACAGCCTGCTCAAGGACGAGCTATGATGCCGCGCCGCCGGCGCTAGGGCAGCTGCGTGGGTCGCCACCGCCGCGGCCGGGCGGCTGGCGCGTGGGAGGGGTGCGTGGTGATGCCGGACGGGGCTGTGAGCGGGGTGGTGCAGAGGAAGCGGCCGGGACGCGTCGCCCCGGCCGGCGTGGGTCACGGGTGTCTGGCGTGGTTACGGCCGGTGTGTGATACCCCGGGCGGATGTGAAATTCGCGGTCTTTACGCCGCGCCCTTTTCTGGTTGTTGCGAGATTATCTGAGGACATGTTTCAGCCTCTACGCGATCAATGCTCCTCTCTCGGGCAAGGAGGGCTCGTGTCTTGTCCATTCCATTTTGTGTTCTTTGTTTTTCGTTTGTACATACCGATCTGATGAAATTGTAAACTTATATCGTCGAGGTCTCTGATGGCGGTGGCTAAAGCTCGGATAACATTTTCATTTAATGTTCAATTTATTTGCGCCTCGCAATTATTGACCTCGACCCACCACAGCAGCTTTACATCGATGTTCCCATCGCGTTGCCCGAACGCAGTGTTCCCCTCGGCAATCTCTGCGCGCAGCACCGGTCTAGATTTTGCCGTTTTGGCCGGGGGACGATCATTTCTAGGCGGCGTCGCGCTGAGCTGGGGTGCGATGAGACCTGAATCAGCTGCTCTTGGCATCTGTGGGCGGCTGCAGAGCTTCAGACGTGCGAGGACAGCTGGGGCGAAACTCCAACGTGACGCGGTGTGTTCTTGTTAAGCGAGCTGTTGTGTGACCGCCTCGCGTTTTGTACTGCGTTTTTACCGAAAGCGGTGCACTTGTTGAAAGCCCTCCACCTTTGCTGTCGTGGTGCGACGTTTGAGGCGTCGTCGCCGGGAAGTATGTTCGTCGACTCCTCGGTCCCAGATCTGTCTCCATGTCTGCTAATATACAGAGCCTGAGCTTGCCGCTGTGTGCTGTCACCCTCGGCGATCCCGGTGCCGGTGCCGGCTGCAACCCCGCGCCCGCAGGTCTCAATGATGCCGCTGAGAACCACGCGATGCGTAGTGCGGTTGTTAACCCCCCCTGACGTAACGCATGGTGATCCCCGCACATTACGTTCGTGCACTATGCGCGGGTGATGGGCGGTGCAAAACCAGCTCATTAATGCACGACCGAACTCACCTATCACTTGCACCCCGACGGGCATCCGCGGTTAAGTGCGACACCCACCGTCGTCAATACGCTGGCGCCAGGTCAATACAGCCGGCCGCGACCACAAAGACCGCGCGCGGGGGCCGGCGGCGGGCCGGCTGAAGTGACGTGGCAGTGCGTAGGGTGTCCCGGCCGGTCACAGGGCCGCCGGCCGCGCCAGGGCGCGTGCCCGGGTAACGATGCGGAGCGCGGGGATGTCGCGGGACGGCTGCGAGACATCGCTGGGGCCCAGCGGATAGCTGGAGGTAGGTTTGTGACAGAGCGGCGTGAGTGAGGGTCTCTGCTAGCACTGCCAGCGCCGGCTCAGGCGGTGTTTTGTTACAACCGCGCGGGTTTTCGCAGCGCGGGCTCTTTTGAGCCCATTCCAGATAGCGGTTTGCTCCGTAAGCAGACCAGAGCAGTGGCGGGTGAATGTGTTGGGCTGCGGGGTTAACTGTTTGTGAGGCTCTTCAAACAGGTGAATTGTTGCTAAATACCGGTTGTCATCGTGCGATTGGACGGCAGATCCTTTATATTGGAGTGCGACGGAGGAAGCTATAAGCCATACCTTCCATGCGAACAGCATAACACAACACGCCTTGTCGCGTTCGTTAGCGAAGGAGCGTAGAGCGTTGCGTGCGGATATTGTCGAAACTGTCTGCGCGCTAAATCGCAATGTTGTGGACGTCGAGCAAAAACTGGAGCTCAGCATAAACAGGCACCACGCTGCCAAATAACCGGTGCAGTATACACGTACTTATTGCCGGCTTCCGGGGGCAGTGCCATCGGAAGAGGAGATGCGTTCCCTCTATCGCTGGATAGGGAAGGGGCAGTCCCTCTTATCCTTTTTTTTCTTCACACATTCTCAAACATCGATACAGAGCCAGTATGATCCTACCGGATTTCCAAAAAGCCGCTCAGCGATATTCCCCTGTACTGACCGAGCGCATTCAATGCCTTCCATGCCGGGAACTGAAATCCGGATGAGGAGGCAGTTGGATCATCACGTGCCTGCAGCCTATGTATATTGCTGGTTACTGTTTCGTTCTATCCTGTGGGCGAGCCAAAGCTCGCGCCCGACAGAAATAAGGCTCCACTCCAACTCGCCCTCGCTTTGGGCTGGTACGCGTCGCCCGATTCGGCCCCGACGCCGGGCGCCGTCGCGACCGACGGTCCCGCCGCATCGGGCCCGACAGTCTTGGTCCGTCGGCGGAGGCAGCAGCAGGCGGGGAGGGAGCAGTCGGCGGCCGGCCGGCCCGCCACTGAGGTACGCGGTAGGTGGCAGCGGCGGACGCCGGACCGGTGGGAGGGCGTGTGTCCTGAGGCGAGGGAAGGAGTTCTCAGTGTGGTGCGTCAGGTCATGTTTGGTGGGTGGGTTAGGAGACCGACTTAGAGCTGGGATACGACCACTCCAGGGTGGCCGTGAAACGCCCGCATTTGCGTCATCGACCTTTCGTCAGCCTGTCCGCCGTTCGTCTCGGTCTGGATCGTTTATTCATATAAGCAGCTATGTGAATGGCACGTGTTTTATTGTGCGGGAGTCAACCGATGTATTCAGTTGTGCTGCATTAGTGAAAAGCATTGCATGACTTTCAATCTAATTATATGGTGCCAGTATCACTCGATGTGTTGGGCTCATTTCGGAATGTTAGGCATGGGGTGGGTAAGACGTGATTTAAACCAAACATTCCGTAGACTACCCGCTGCCTTCTTCCACTACCCGCTACTGCTACCTGCTACTGCTACTAGCTATCCGCTAGCCGTCTATAGCTAGTCGCCATATCGGTGCATATGGATGCGGAAGATGGCTGACTCCCATAAGTGTTGGGGGACTCGGCACGGACCGAGTAAAACACGTGACGCGGGCAAAACCTTTTTAAAACGAGAGTTGTGATAGAAACCGAAAAAGTTCGACAGCTGCCTGACTTGAATATCTTAGCTTTCTTATAAACCTCTTGGTTCAAGATTACGTGATTTACCGATTGTATTCACTGACCGTCCGTACCTTCACATTCAAGAGAGGAGTCTCGCATCTATTTCCAGGGGCTCAAGCGCCCGATGCTCCTTACTTGGCCTTGGGACTTGCGAATATGCGCAGAGAAAATAAATAGAACCACAATCGATGCGCCTCCAGTAATTCTAGAAAAACTCCGTCACTGATCTCATCTATTTTCGATTTGCACTGCAATTCAAAGATACTTTTGCCGCTCGAGCGAACTGCGTAGAACTGGAAGAACCTGTCGATTTCGCGCGTGCCTAGACTGGTCGCCTGCGTGCTGTCGCAACACCCCCGTGTGTGCCTGGCCTTGAGGTTTGAGCGGCCTCTGCCGAAGGTGGTCGGCCCGCCGGTTGCTGGGATCTTTGTTTACCTGTGTTGTGTCGGAGACGCTCACCACATCTCCCCCATCACTAATGCATTGCTGTCAGGCTCTGATGCGGGCTCTGACTGCTGAATGATTCAGGCTGCAGCTCCCACCCTGGGCTAAACGTGTACAACCGTGCTTGTACGCGCGTACACTCACTCGATTAATGCGAAAGATCAGGTTTGGTTGCCTGCCGTGGCGTGGGAAAGGCATGCGTATGGAATGGTGTTGGCAGAACGCCAGCTGTCATTACCGCTATCGCTGCCATGTTCTGTCCAAGTTGGGATATTTGCATTATTTAGAGGTCTATGACGACGGCTCTCCACCGGAGACCGAGGATCCCACAGCCATTAGACCAGCGGTAGTCGAAGGAGACATCGCGTCTTTGCATAATCACGACGTTTGGTCTCTTATTGTCGCCAGAGAGAGCCATGTAGTGTGTAATGTCGAACAGTCTCTACTAGATATTCACTTAACACGCGGCCCTGGTGGCCTGTTGGATACCCTTGGCTCGAGCTGCGAGGTCAGTTTGACCCTCCTGAGATCTCAGGAACTAAGAGAGCTAGACACACCAAGTTCACAGGGTGTGTTAACCTGCAAGTAAATCCACTTAGGTAGAAGTTTTAGGTTCCTAGGTCATGATATTTGAATCAAATAAGGTCAAACAAGGTCAAATTCTAGGCTGGCCTCCAAAGAGCTCCTAGAACCCAGACACTGCTCTAAGCAAAAGGTCGCATGCTCATTTAAGGTCAATAAAGTTACTTAACAATATGATGCAAGACTGATTTGAGTTTTGCATTATAATATATATATATATATATATATATATATATATATATATATATATATATATATATATATATATATATATATGTAGGCGACAAAGATTGCGCTGGGCAGTATGGTCCAAAACAAAACAAAAAATGTTGACCTGGGTCATTCTAAGTTTGTCACCTATTTTGACCTTAAAGAAGTCCATGGAAGGTGTATAATGCGGTTCCTGTTATTAATAAATGCAAAATGAGCGCCAGAAACTACCTCATACAGCGAGCCCTGGAGTAATAAAACAGGTTGGTTTTGACCTTGGTCTGACTTCCATACCATACCCTAATCCAATTTAATTTGTTGATTCGGTTGTTGCATTGCCTAAGAAACTATCTCAAAGATGCATGGCTTTGTCTAACGCTCCGTTGTTGGATCCAATTGAACGATTCCCTAGAAATTGCCTTCGCTGAAACCATGACCTGACTTTGACCTGCCATAGGTCAGTGACCTTACAAGGTACAGCTAAATGTTTGATGCCAGACGATCCGCTATTCAATTGTTTATAGCTATGCAATCTTTGGCGCGGCTACGCCGCGCCGTTCGGAAACCATTTTGGAAAAAACCTTCGAGGGGTCAATTTGACCCCACCCCAGCGCGTGTTGAGTCCACGCGATGCATCTGGATTTGTTTGTGTAATATGTCATTGTCAGACTAGGAAGATCGCTGTTACATGTAGGACGAAAGTCCATCAAATGGAAGTGCCCACAGTGTCCGTACCGTGTTCAAAGGGGCTGAAACAGGTTTTGAAACCCCGCGGTATCAGCACTGGAGCAAAAGAGGCGTGCTTCGCTTGAAATGTATGTGAACCTAGTCACATGATATTTTTCAAATTGCTTAAAAATGTGCCTCCATTTGCCGTTGGTGTCAGAGGCGCAGCACAGCTGCATGTGGTCATGCTCACACCAACAGACTGTTGCGTGTAGCCATGCTCGTGCCAACAGACCGCTGCGTGTAGTCATGCTCGTGCCAACAGACCGCTGCGTGTAGTCATGCTCGTGCCAACAGACCGCTGCGTGTAGTCATGCTCGTGCCAACAGACTGTTGCGTATAGTCATGCTCGTGCCAACAGACCGCTGCGTGTAGTCGTGCTCGTGCCAACAGACCGCTGCGTGTAGTCATGCTCGTGCCAACAGACCGCTGCGTGTAGTCATGCTCGTGCCAACAGACCGTTACGTGTAGTCATGCTCGTGCCAACAGACCGCTGCGTGTAGTCGTGCTCGTGCCAACGACTGTTGCGTATAGTCGTGCTCATGCCAACAGATCGCTGCGTGTAGTCATGCTCGTGACACCAAACCGCTGCGCGTAGTCATGCTCGTGCCAACAGACCGTTACGTGTAGTCATGCTCGTGCCAACAAACCATCAGACGGTGCATGTATCAAAGACAATACAAACCAGCCACATCTAATTAGGCAATTTGGGGACGGATGGCGAAGTTTGCATTGCAGTGCAAATTGATGTCTTCTTTGGAGGAGCAAGGGGCAACACGTTTGGTATAACGGCTTGCTATATTAATTATGCTGGCCGGTATTAGGTTCATTGCGATACAGTGATTTTAAAATTATATATATATATATATATATATATATATGTGTGTGTGTATATAATATGCATGTATGGGTGCACTATGTAAACTCCATGGAATGCTTACGGAGTTGCTCCATGCTCCATGGATGCTTACGGAGTTCACCGTAAACTTACGGTGAACTCCGTCAGCATCAGGCTGATGACAAATCGCAATAAGTTTAACGGGCCAAATCGAGTGGCGCACAGGTGCCGCTGCACGCCCGGCTGATAGCAGTCATCAATAACTGACAGCCCAGTGCAGCACACCAAATTGCCTCCACCCATGCTAGCCCACGTTTCATTTCACTAACGCGGCACATCAGGATAAAGCCTTGGGGCAATTGAGTCCGTTACATCGCCATTTGGCTTCGACCGCGGCGGCTTAGCTCCGGATAATTGATGCCGCGCATTGTCTGCCTACCCGACACCTCCCTGGGCCCGGGACGTTCGGCAGTAATTTCGATGGTTCGCAATGGTATGAGCGCAATATGCATGCAAATAAAGGAGGCCCATGCACACAGCATATGCTCGTTCCACCATTTGGTCGTTTGGCCCGCCCAGGAAACCACGTGGTATGACGCTGCTCGCGTGGAGCCGTACATCCATGACCGGTGGATTCTGAACACGGCACCTCCGCCCGGAGGATTTCATTGCCGGCGGCAGCCTCAGAAGGCATATGTCGTTCAGCTCAGAACGACCTTCATCTTCGAAGCAACCCTTTCCCTCCTCTGGAGCCTCATGATGTAAACTTCGGATCGAACTATCGAACGGCGATGGATAGTCCTGGCCGACTTCACCCAGAAATCTCTGAGTCCCAATGTGTCGCATTACTGATAACGTCACAGGTCACGCAAAACGCATGACAAGTCACGAAGTCTGGAAACGACCTCAAGCCATCCAACGCTCGTTATATTTGCCGCACCGCTTTGCAGCCGGCACCAAGCAAACGAGCGTGTTTACCCCTCACATTTATAAGATGATGTCAGTGCAGGTCAGGGATCAAGGTCTGCCTAAGACCATTTGAGGTCAAGGTAGATTCACGCAGTCAGACGTGCCTTTTCGATGCACAAGACATATGGAAGTCAGTGGCTGGAAAGTGTCTGTTACATTGACTTGGTCATCACAAGGAATAGCAGCGCATTATTTTAGTACAATGCCTTTATTAGTGGACCTGTGACATCTATGACCTGTCGTGACCTAGTGACCTCTCTGCAGGCGGGATGGGCTGCTGCGGCGCCGCAACTCGCGTGGAGACAATCCAGGGTGGCGGCGGACCGGACACCTTGCCCTGCAAGCAGCGCTCCGTACGCGACGTGCCATGTCTCATCGTGTTCGCCCTCTTCCTGGCGGCTGGGGTCAGTACTCAGCGGCGGTCGGGGTCAGTACTCAGCGGTGGTCGGTGTCAGTACTCAGCGGCGGTCGGGGTCAGTACTCAGCGGTGGTCGGGGTCAGTACTCAGCGGTGGTCGAGGTCGGGGTCAGTGCTCAGCGGCGGTCGTGGTCGGGGTCATACTTAGCGGTGGTCGGGGTCGGTACTCAGCGGTGGTCGGGGTCAGTTCTCAGCGGCGGTCGGGGTCAGTGCTCAAAGGTGGGCGAGGTCAATACTCAGCGGCGGTCGGGGTCAGTACTCAGCGGTGGTTGGGGTCAGTACTCAGCGGTGGTCGGGGTCAGTTCTCAGCTGCGGTCGTGGTCGGGATCAGTACTCAGCGGCGGCCGGGGTCAGTACTCAGCGGTGGTCGGGGTCTGTACTGATCGGTGGTCGGGGTCAGTTCTCAGCTGCGGTCGTGGTCGGAATCAGTACGCAGCGGCGGTCGGGGTCAGTACTCAGCGGTGGTCGGGGTCAGTTCCTCAGCTGCGGTCGTGGTCGGGGTCAGTACTGCAGCGGCGGCCGGGGTCAGTACTCAGCGGTGGTCGGGGTCAGTACTCAGCGGCGGTCGGGGTCAGTACTCAGCGGCGGTCGGGGTCAGTACTCAGCGGTGGTCGGGGTCAGTACTCAGCGACGGTCAGGGTCTGTCCTCAGCGGCGGTCGGGGTCAGCACTCAGCGGCGGTCGGGGTCAGTGCTCAGCGGTGGGCGAGGTCAATACTCAGCGGCGGTCGGGGTCAGTACTCAGCGGTGGTCAGGGTCAGTACTCAGCGGTGGTCGGGGCCTATTCTGACCAGTACATACACGGCACGGGGTGACTGGAGCCGCCTCATCCTCCCTTTCTTCTCTCTGAGGGAAGCAGCGCCGCATGGATGCACGCTGGGAATACCTTAATGGAGTAGGCGCAAACCCGAGCCAGATGCTTCTGTTTTTGCGGAAACAGCTCACGAGTTGATTTCAGCAGCAAGAGAAAAGTATCAAAAAACAGCGGGAACTGGTCACGGCATAGAGTCAAGGCAGGAGAAACACTGCTGAGCTCGTGGCTGCAGGCGGTAAAGGTCCCTAAAGAGTGCACATTGGCAATGTTCTCTGCTGGCGCAGCTGCCAATGTTTCACGTTTATGGCACAGCTTAAAGCGTCTGAGGCGACTGCCTAAATTCCGTGCAGCGTGTACTTTGTGCATTAATTGGCAACATAAGGGCTAATGACACTGAAGGGCGGTGGGACTCGAGACCTTTCTGAGTACCAAAGACGAGTGAGGTTTATTGACATACCACCCCGTCTAGCCATGCTAATCATTCTACAATTGCTGGCCTGCCGCAATGAAGGCATCGTTACCGTGAGCGATTGCCAAACATAAGCCGATGAAGGCAGTTATTTTACAGTTTCAGACCGTGGAATAAATAGGTAGCCAATAATTTGCAGACGTCACCCTAAAGTATCTCAATCAATTTAATCGAATGTGTCAAGCGTTTTCATGTCCGTCAAAAAGGGCGCGTGTTCCTTTATCTTCCACGGCAAATTATGATTGGATACATAGGTGAAGGAACTCTTTAGAACGAGGAGAGCCAAAGTCAATTTCGAAGCCGGTTCTTTCCGCGCGTCACCACAGTGTCAGTGTTCAGTAGTCTCGGAAAGTAGGAATGCCACGACACCCACGGACTCTTCTCGTGTCTGCGCGACGTCTCCCTCCTGCCTGCGGCGTAATTGTGCATCGATACCGAGGAGCTGAAACCCTTTGACAACTCACGTAACATGGAGCAAAGCTCCATTCTCCGAGCTTGACCAAGGCGTGCACACAGTGGCGGCCTCTGGACAGAGCGCGATGCCCATGTTCCTTTACCTACAGTCCGTTGCACAGCGGGTCATCGACTGTCATTCGAACTCCAGCAGTACTGAAATACGTGGAGGGTCACGTTACGTCATTGCGGCCTCCTTCGAAGGGCGTTCAAAGGAAAAGAAGTGTGGCAACTGCAACCGTCCGCCCCCAACGCTCCTGTATGTGGCAGTGGCGGTGTATGTGGGGGCGCCACTGTATGTGGCAGCTGCAACTGTCCGCCCCCAACGCTCCTGTATGTGGCAGTGGCGGTGTATGTGGGGCGCTACTGTATGTGGCGACTGGAACCGTCCACCCAACGCGACTGTATGTGGCAAGGGCGGTGTATGTGGGGGCGCTACTGTATGTGGCCGCCGCAACTGTCCGTCTCCGCCGCGCTGACTGACTCTTGGTGCTCAATGTCTGGTGGTGACATTTGACGCCTTTGTTCGCGGTCGGCAGATTTTGGCGCTGATTGTCGCCTTCAGCCAGGGCAGCGTCCACCGGCTGCTCCACGGCTATGACAACTACGGCAATGTCTGCGGCCAGGATAATGACGACATCCACAGCGTGGCCAACAGCGGCCAGGACTTCACCGGCAAGCCGTCAGTCTGATTCGTTCTCTCTCTCTCTCTCTCTCTCTCTCTCTCTATCTATCTCATCTACCTCTCTCTCTCTTACTCTCTATATCTTCTATCTCTCTATCCTCTCTCTCATCTCTCTATCCTCTCTCTCTCTCTTTTATCTATCTCGCCTGTCTGTTGCCTGTCCACCTGTCTATCTGTCCGTCTGTCTGTCCGTCTGTCTGTCTGTCTGCCTGAATCTCTCTCTCTCTCTCTCTCTCTCTCTCTCTCTCTCTCTCTCTCTCTCTCTCTCTCCCTCTTCCTCAGTCTCTTTTCTGTTGTTCCGCCGTAGCGCTCCTATGCCGATGTAACTCGCATTTGTTTCGTGTCTCTATACGTTGTGCTGCTTTATTTCCCTTCAGTTTCTCTGATTTATGCCGCTGTCATCTCTACATATCAGCGCTTGTGTCCTCAGCATGCGTCAGGACCGAACACGAGTTGCCTAACGTCATCCGCCTCACATGATGTGTTCGTTCTGCAGAATCGTGCTGGTCCACTCCGACATCTCGGACGCTCAGAAAGGACAGGCAGTGCTCGACTTCGGGCTTGACGTGTTCCACCTGATGAACAGAACCTGCGTCAGCGAATGCCCTAGCGAGGGCGGGTAGGTACTCATGCAGAACACAGGCTTTATTGTGTCCGTTAAGTATTTGCACCGCTTTGTCCGTGCCTATAGCAACGCGTTTTGTGTACAAAGCGTGGTAATTAAGCGGAGCTGTATGGACACAAGCTTTTACGGATTGTTGCCCACCTGATATAGCCTGACGATGACATATGAATCATCCTTTTCTTGGCCTCTGCGTGCTTTTCTCCATAGATCGTCCGATTCACCAGCATGCATCTTACCTCATCTACCCCACCAGCCCCACGGTGAAAGCGTGGTGCACTGCCTACCAGTATGCACGGACGACCCAAGCGCCCCCTCCCCCTCCCCTGGTGTCCATGCCGGTGGACGGCTAATCAAACACCAGTAATAAAAGGCCAGTAAAGTACAGCCCCGTAGAGGTAAACAAGAAGGAAGAACCATCGGCCAGCCGCATGAAGGAACAGCTTCATAGTCGGCCGTTAAGTCGGCCAGCGTCCGTCCAGTTGAGCTCTCGTAGCCGAACTCCCTGGACGGTAGCCTGAAGTGCTGCCAGCTGTATGTCTGAGACCCACGACTGATATGCGGCCTTTCAGTCAGGAGAAGGCGTAGCTCCAGAACACGACACATGGGGTGGTGAGCGGTTCAGTTCGTGTAAAGGCGCTTTACACGAGCGTTTACGTAACGTCTGCGCTTTTGTAACGTTGTGAACGGTCATAAGCTGCACCACCGCAACAGTCGTGGGGATTTATACGTGACATGGGTTTACGGGGTGATTCAGTTCGCGCACTTTCGGGTTGTTCAAACCACTTCGGAGTGGTGGGCTATGAAAAATGATATATGTGGTGCAGAAACTTTTGTGTCATTGTAACGCCGCACCCATAAATAGCAAAGAAGAGTCTATTGATGCTGCAACTACGCTAAACCATCCCACAATGATAGCTTCCATTTCTGGTGCCCTGTCTCTTGCTCAGCGACAGTAAATGTCTCCCTGTGTGCCATGTCAATGGGGCTTTACGACGCACTCAGCTGCTGAGGCTGCATGGCGTCGCCTGCCTCTCACCCTGGCAGGAAGTGCGGGCACCGCGGGGAATCGAACCCCGTACTTCTGGTTTCCCAGACGCGCATTGGTTAACGCAGATGCATTAACCACTACACTACCGGCACCCCCGTAAATGTCTCCCTACTCGACATCATCCATTCCCTGCCAAATACACTGATATACACGCTGAGATAATGTCAATGATGGAACAGCTCGGGAGAAGGTCCGTACTCCACAACCTTGCACTAACCTAGTAGAACTAAACAACTGTAACTTAACAGGGAATCGAATTTTCACGCAATGTTTCTTTTTCCAGTTGTAATATGCCCTGTTGTGCGTATGTCCATGGTGCTTCGTAAACTTATGCAATATGATCAACAACACGGTAACTAACAACTTTGCACAATGGGGTCGCTGAATTTACAAAACCGCAGCTTACAGCTGTCAGCCTGCCACCGGTCACGATACCGTGTGGATCTGACATGCAAACGCTTCTTCCGTCTTCATGCCGATGCATCCTCGACCCATGAGGCTGTTCGTAGAGCTCGCTAACGCTCGTCATGCGACGCAGCGAGCTGGTGGTGAACTACTGCTTCTACTCGCCGCCGTCGCCTGGCGGCCCCACCGTCAGCTCGCAAGCGACCATGGAGGCGTCCTCCTTCTTCGACGAGCTCTCGCGCGACCTGGAAAAGGCCTGGCAGGAGCTGCTCGCCATCTGCGCCGTGGCTCTAGGTCAGAGAAGGGCTGCGTGCGGGAGAGTTCGTCCCTGCGCGCGTGAGGGTGTGAGCTCAAGCGTGCGTGTGTGCATGTAAGGGTGTGAGCGTTCATGCATGCACGTGTCTGTTTTATGCGTATGCGCGTGTGCGTGCGTGTGTGTGCGCGGGACGTGCGCGCACGGTCGTGCACACTCGTATGTTGTACGTTGCATGGGCTTCGTGTTTTTCTATCGCTGGGAGAGCCATTGGTGACATGGTGCGCTTCTGTGGGCGTATAATGTTTAACAAGCGATGCGGTCTCAACGATGGCAAAATCCCAAACAGCACGCTCCGAGCGTAGCGGGTCCGGAATCGCATGCCTTCACTCCCACAAGCTGGCATCACAAAGTCCCACTCCCTGCCTCGACCGCGTCGGACACACCCTGTGGAGCAGTGCGGACTTAGCCAGTCCATTCGACTGACGTCGAGCAGTCGTGGCCAGCGGCCGGCAGATCGCTGACGCGAGAAAAATCCGGCCCTGCCCCTGAGACCGAGCCGGCGGCGTGCCTGATGTCTGGGGCGACATGTCTGACCCCTTAGTCTGACCCGGCGACGTGCCTGACCTCTGGAGCTGACCTGACCTGACCTGACCTCTGGTGTCACACCTCTAGGGTGGCGTGTCTGGCCTTTGGAGTGGCGCGTATGACCTCTGAGGCTGACCTGGCAGTGTGTATGACCTCTGAGACGGCGTATCTGACCTTTGGTGCGGCATGCCTGACCTCTGGGGTTGGCGTGTCTAACCTTTGAGGCGTGTCCCTAGGTCTAGCTCTCGTGCTGCTGGCCACTCTGCGCTTCCTGGCCTGGATGATCGTGTACGTCGTCATCGCCGTCATGGTCGTCGGTGCGCTGGCCGGCACCGGCCTCCTCTGGTGAGAGCACAGGGGCGTCACCAGGGTCTGATCCCCGGAAGGTGGGGGTGGCACGCAGCCGATGATCTGCTGACGGAACTGGTGGTCGAGGAGGCGGTGGACTGGTGATTTGAGGTCAAAATACTGAAGCAGTATAATCATGGGCACCATCAGAGGCCGTGCAGAGGCCGCGAATCGAGCGGCCGTTTGTTGGCCGTGCCCCTGGATGAGCGGATAAAGATAATTATGTTCTTTAAAACATGTTATTATCCCCGGAGGCGGATGCGCGGAGGTGAGCTGAATCATGCCGCCCCCCGGGTGGCTATATGCCGCCCCCCACCATGCCGCCCCCCCAGGTGGCTATATGCCGCCCCCCACCATGCCGCCCCCCCCCCCCAGGTGGCTATATGCCGCCCCCCACCATGCCGCCCCCCAGGTGGCTATATACCGCCCCCCACCATGCCGCCCCCCCAGGTGGCTATATGCCGCCCCCCACCATGCCGCCCCCCCCCCAGGTGGCTATATGCCGCCCCCCACCATGCCGCCCCCCAGGTGGCTATATGCCGCCCCCCACCATGCCGCCCCCCCCCCCCAGGTGGCTATATGCCGCCCCCCACCATGCCGCCCCCCCCCCCCCAGGTGGCTATATGCCGCCCCCCACCATGCCGCCCCCCCCCCAGGTGGCTATATGCCGCCCCCCACCATGCCGCCCCCCCCCCAGGTGGCTATATGCCGCCCCCCACCATGCCGCCCCCCAGGTGGCTATATGCCGCCCCCCACCATGCCGCCCCCCAGGTGGCTATATACCGCCCCCCACCATGCCGCCCCCCCCAGGTGGCTATATGCCGCCCCCCACCATGCCGCCCCCCCCCCCCCCAGGTGGCTATATGCCGCCCCCCACCATGCCGCCCCCCATCGGCTATATTGGCATACTATTGGGTTCTGTAGAAAACCCAACCGAGTTTTACCTGCAAAAATATATATAAAAGCAGGCTCGTCAGGGCCAAAGTGAGCGCAGCCAATTTTTCATTTCGTTTTTACTTTTGGATTTGGGCCCTTAACCGCCCTTGGACTTTTTCGGATCCGACCCTGGCTATCCCAAGTGATGATCGCTTGCGAGCCTCAGTGGCGGATCCAGAGGGGCTCACATGGCCATTCTCATCCCCTCACATGGCCATTCTCATCCCAGTGGCGGATCCAGAGGGGCTCACATGGCCATTCTCATCCCCTCACATGGCCATTCTCATCCCAGTGGCGGATCCAGAGGGGCTCACATGGCCATTCTCATCCCCTCACATGGCCATTCTCATCCCCGAAGAAACTTATGGGGTCTGAAGGGGCCCATAACTGACCGCACGGATGCAGTTTTTTAGCCCAAGTGTCACAAAATTGAACGTCTTTGGGCCTCCAGGCGGCCAAGAACAGCTGCATGCAAAAGTGAACGACCCATGAGCAGGCACAAATAATTCTTCGCTGATTGCGCTGTCCATAGGCCTTACGCTATCACTACCCGGCTTGAATCATTGAAACATCCTCAATGAATTCCAGGTATCTATATTTTGAAGCAAAGAAGGCTGCAGACAACGCGCACGAATCGATACGAGAGTTCCGAATGAGAGACGCCAACAGTATGCTGGCCTTCGCTGTGGTGGCAACGATTGCGACGGTAAGTTAGCAAGAGGTGCACAAGGTCAAGAACGGCTAGACCACCTTCACTGTGGTGTTCGCCGTGCCGTTTCTCACAGACAGCCAGGCGCCCAACTTCTCGGCATGCAAGAGCGTGTCATGGAGATAAGACCAGGCGGCTATTAGTGGGTCGAGACAAACATGGTGTTTTTCGGATGTTTCGTTGATCACACGATGATCGGGCGAGGTGAGTGCCGAACGCGGGCACCCGTCACTCGAGCGATGACAACGTCGTGACCACTGATGCCGCGTGCGACGACGCGGGTCAAGTCGCGGAGACCAGGGTGACTTGTGGTCCTGTGGTCCAGAAGCGATGGTGTCGAGTTCTCTGAACTGCGGGTAGACATGACCAACTAAATCAGAGACAGGTCACTCAAGAGGTCGACGTACCGCTCCCGCTGGATGCCGGGTTCGCTTGTCATCAACACAGGTTTAGGTAGGTTTAGGTCCCCAGAAAATGCGTCGGGAAGCCCTTGCCGACGGCAAGCGTGAGTTGGTCACGCAATTTGGCCAGTACAGGTGACACGGGTCCATTTGGAGGCCTGTAGACCACGCTGTCATTTGCCGGCGCTGAGTGCTGTGAAGCCATCCGCACTTCAGACCTGAGCCTGGTGACGGGAAAGTTGTCACAATTGCGACACTTGTCCACGAAGATGACACGAAGTGTCACGGGTGAAGGCGTGTCTCCACAGGTGATGCGCACGCCACCGCCGTGAGTTCCACGGTCTCGTCTGACGGCGCACTAGCCGGGGAAGAGCAGGTATCTGTCGTGAACGACTGCAGTCAGTCAGGTTTCACTCAGGCATAGTGCGTCGACGTCATAACGTCAGCCGGTGTCGGTCATCACGACAAACGCCGCAGCAACTCTAAGTGGCCGGCAGCAACAGATCAAGCAGCTTGCCCTTGGTCACCAGCCTTGACGCACTGGGCGAGGATCAATGGACACGCCACGCCTCGTAAACCGTTTAGTGATGGGTGTTCGTCATGCAACCCGTCGCCGGATACCCCATAGTGCCACTGGCCTTAATACTTTAAATTGACTTTGGTAGCTCCTACCATCTACTGCCTTAAAAACAGTGACGTGCGCTGTTAATGTTTATTATCGCATCACGAGCACGCCCTTGTTTTCACAGCTGTGATACAGCGGACGATCTAGCTCACCCTGAGTGATCTTCGTACGTAAATAGATTAGGGGCGTTCATCCCCATAATTTCGTTCTTCCGCTGCAGCTACTGCTACTGATCCTGCTGGTAGTGATGCGAAAGAGGATCAAGCTGGTGACGGCCCTCTTCAAGGAGGCCGGCAAGGCCGTGCAAGCGATGCCGCTGATGCTGCTACAGCCATTGGTAGTAAGTGTGAAACATTCTCTTGTATGCAGACCGGATCCAAAACCGGAGCCGTGCCGGGTGCTCTGGGGCACCATGACCGGTCATGCATCATCCCGGGCCGGGCGCTCTGTGTCGGCCTGCGCCGCCCCCGGGCCGAGCGCTCCGTGTCGGCCTGCGCCGCCCCCGGGCCGAGCCAGTCGGCTCCCGAACAATGGGCGCATGGCACGGGCCGCCGGGCTGGGGGAGGGGGTCCTACCACACACCTGCTTCCGGCGTGTTTGTGGTCGGGAACAGCACGAGACGCCGGCACGTCTTGACACCGTGAGCCGGCCGGGACGCGCCTGTATTGTGCTAATTTATGACGTGTTTTCCCAAGTCGAAAAGACACGCAGGTGGTGGATTTGAGACTAATGATGACAAAGGTCGAGGTTATGTAGTCTTAGCGGCGGTGCAGGACATCCTGCCACGCGGAAAATAATATTACTATATGCAGTTTCCCATACCTAGTTCACATTATCATCATACACTTGTTTGTCTCGAACTGCAAATGACCTGCTCGGGTGATGGCCTATTTCGTCTACCACGACAACAGCTGTTACAGAATTGTGCCGAAACCTGTACTCAAGCCTATTTTTTAAATGTGTGCGCAACTTCGGGGTGCCAATACTTCCGTAGATAAATCCACAAACAGAGCCACAGTCCCAGAAGTGGCTGCAACTGCTGACTAACTTCCCGGTTGCGCGATACCTGCATTGCCCATGTCCTCCCTCATGTTTCTGCTCGGCCCACTCAACGTCTGACGCTCGTCCCCTACGCCCCGATCTGCGTCTGCTGCAGACGTTTGTAGTGATGGCGATCACCGTCTGCGTCTGGGCGGCGACGGCCCTGGTCATCGAGTCCATGGGGACGCCGGTGCCCGGCCTGCACTCGGGCTTCGTCCAGTACAGGAAAACCGGCGCTGGGCTCGTGAGTCTACCCGCGCAGGGCGGCTACATCGCGCGCCGGCTGCATGGAGCAAGCGCGTGGATGACATGCGAGTACGCTTTGTGGTGGACCTAGTATGACGGTAGAAATTACTTATCGATCTACCGCGTTAGCCCTGTCAGACTTAACCACGGTCGAGTGGCTTCCCGCACCCAGGCGTTTCCGCTTGGCCGTCTTGGCAACAAGCATGTGTTTGCTTGTCAGTTAATCGGTGTGCCTTTGTTTTTCAGTTCTTCCGCTGGTACAACATGTTTGCCCTGTTCTGGGTGAGTCAGTTTATCATCGCGTGCCAGGATATGGTGGTCGGCGGCGCCGTCAGTAAATGGTTCTTCACAAGGTGAGGACAACCTCTCAGAACAAATTGTGTGCGAAAGTAAATTGTCACATTGAGAATGTTTTGTGAATGGATTTTCACCTCAGATTGCGGTACATCGCATTAAATGGAACTCTGTTAACAGTTAAGTGATTTGTCAATGCAATGCCTAAACAAATTGATGTCTGCTAGAAATGTCGCGTCCGTTTAGACGGCAGAATGTTGGTGGGCATTAGATCCCCATGACGTTCAAATGATAGCTGTCCGTCGGTACTTTTTATAGCATTGGTACGTTGGTTGACATGTGTTATCGCGAGCACTGAAAGCCAGCAGAGCGTCTATGCCAAACATCAGGCTGTAACGTCACTCACCACCTGTGGGTTTGCTTTTTTCGACGAAAAGTGCTACATTTCAGAGACAAGTCGCAACTCGGCAATCCAGTTTTGCTGGCGACCAAGAATCTAGTTCTTTACCACCTGGGCTCTGTTGCCTTGGGCTCGTTCATCATCGCCGTCGTCAAGATGATCCGCTACATTTTGAAGAAAATACAGGCGCAGATGGGCAACAACCCGGTAGCGAAGATAGTCTGCTGTTGCTGTCAATGCTGTCTCTACTGTTTTACCAAGTTCCTGCAGTTTCTCAACCGCAATGCCTACGTCGAGATAAGTGAGTGATCTTCTTCGTGTGGCGGCTATATAGACAATAGGCACTCCCCGCAGTTGGCTACTGGGTGATACGATGACCTAAAACCTCAGCGTCTTGCTGAAGGCCCCGCGGCACTGTGCTGGATCAACCTTCTCATTTCCGCGAGTTCTTGACTCTAGTTGACCATCCGTTGTGTGCCAGCTTCCTTCACCAGGCCTGGTGTGCCTACCGTACAGGGGCGGAACTTTTTTTGGGGGGGGGGGAAAGGGCATGCCCCCAATGTCGAGCTGGCCCCCAATGTTTGACTGGGTCCCCTTATATTGGGCTGGCCACCCTTTGTTTGGCTGGGTCTTAACAATGTGGAACCTCGCTCCCCAGCACCACATCAAAACTTTTAATTAAAGATAATTTGTAGTGGCTCACGATTTGGTAGTAGAGAAAAACGTTTATAAAACACAATACACAATATTTTACCTAAAACGAAACCCGCAAAAGGCTGCATGTTGTGAGCCTCTAAACCAACAGTGAATGTTTCTGCGTCATTGGGGCTTCACGACGCTTCTGAGATTGTGTGACGACGCTTACCTCCTGCCCTGGCGGAAAAGGCGGGCACCGTGGGGAATCGAACTCCGTAGTGAATAGTCAAACACAAAAGCAATAACCTGCACACATTGTGTAACTAGTAATGCCACTCGAGTGACATGTCGTGACGCGAATATTAAAATGTTAGTGGTGGTAGCAGAGAGCAGCGAAACTATTGAAATTCGTGGATTATGAACGAGACATTCTTGTTTGAAGTAAAACATGCAACCAGCTCACTGGAATATATAAATGTTTTGTGTCGTTGACACGGAAATATTCAATTCTTGTGCTGTTTTGAGTCTCCTGAAGGGGTACGACAGTTTCCTTTATTCTTATTGAGAGTTGTGACACGAGCGATGCATAAACAATATACGTGCTTACAAGGATATTAGGTTTATTGCGCCCCCGGCACGTAAAATTGTCTTACATTAGAACTATAAGATAGTTGTAGTACACAAAACGTAATAGTAGTGTACAAATATATATATATATATATATATATATATATACATATGTATATATGTATTGTAATAAGCATTATATACAATACGCAGTGTGTATGGCGTACGTCTTTCACCATCGTGTACGTATTTTCATATTGTTTTTGCAAATACAGCACCACGGACTAATGACGCGATTGTGTAATCCCGATTGCTCGTCATGCTGTAACTGCCAGTTCCGTTCAGAAAATCTATCTCGAAATCGCACAGGTGTATTTTCCTAGTCAGGAGCTGAGGGGCCCTTTTTTCCCAGCACGGGTACCTAGCAACTGCTATTCTGGCGATACGGGGACAGGAATGCCCTGGTCAATCCGGGGGGGGGGGGGGGCTCAGACGTACGCATTATGCACTGGTCCCATCCCAGACCAGGCAGGCGCTCTGACCTGGGCATCTGACACAGGATCGACGCAAGGACATCTCGCTAACGTAAAAAGGTCCCTTACCGGCACAAGGAGCCACAGCCTAACTGGCACCGAGACACCAATGCAGCTTATCCGCCCCTGCCTCCTGTTTAAAGTGCGCAAGCCCTCGTTCTGTACCCCAGCTGGCTGACACAGTTCGCTGTCTCATTGTGAGTGAAAACCGTTACATCAAAATTTATCATGCCTCTTGTCATTGCCAAGAGGATCCCGACTAATTTGTGACCAACGCAAGAACCATTTTGACATCCGAGGTCTCGCTCCCGTCCCCACTCGGCAAGTGTGCCCATGGCCCACTTTGGACTTATTACCCATACGGGAACCCCTTGTTGGGCACTGTGAGATCCTGATCAGCACGAGGAGCCGACCAATGCACGATCTTCTGGATCAACATTTGCAGGCCCGGCCTTGCCTCGACTTAGAAAAGAGGTCACGGGCCAGGACTGGCGCGGGACCGAGTGTTCCGTGTTGCCTACTGACTGAGGTCTCTTCATCCCAGCCTGCCTTTCAGACCTTTTGATCGGGCGCTTGGTCGTCTTTCAGACCATTTGATCGGACGCTTGGTCGTCTTTCAGACCCTTTGATCGGACGCTTGATCGTCTTTCAGACCTTTTGATCGGACGCTTGGTCGTCTTTCAGACCTTTTGATCGGACGCTTGGTCGTCTTTCAGACCCTTTGATTGGACGCTTAGTCGTCTTTCAGAACTTTTGATCGGACGCTTGGTCGTCTTTCAGACCCTTTGATCGGACGCTTAGTCGTCTTTCAGAACTTTTGATCGGACGCTTGGTCATCTCTCAGACTCTTTGATCGGACGCTTGGTCGTCTTTCAGACCCTTTGATCGGACGCTTGATCGTCTTTCAGACCTTTTGATCGGACGCCTGGTCGTCTTTCAGACCTTTTGATCGGACGCTTGGTCGTCTTTCAGACCCTTTGATCGGACGCTTAGTCGTTCGTCTTTCAGACCCTTTGATCGGACGCTTGGTCGTCTTTTCATCGGGGCTTAAAGGCCTCCTCGGGGTCATCGATACCTTAATACTTATGAAAGGCCACGCGTGCCTGTCCCAACAATAGTGGTGCCCTTGGTTCCTCGTGAAAAGAAAAAATGGGTCACTTTTTGCTACCTTCTGGAATTTGACGCTGCGTGAAATTAAAGCTCTTGTAGGCGTTCGTGATGCCTCGCCAAAGTCTTCGAAATGCATGTCTTGATGCCCGAAATGAAGGCATTGGGTATACCCCAAACTAAAAGTTTTGATGACCCATCGCCGGATAGGCCGATCCCGAGTTACGCCTATAGGGAGGTGCAAAGATTGTGGCGCCCCTGAAATTTGTTGTCTCTTGAAAACGAATGTCGTAGGACCCAGTTTGCTGCCCCTGGAGTTGGGTGGGGCTTTAATAATGTTCATGATGCTCAGAGATGAAGGTTTTGTGACGCCTTTTTGCGGAGGAGCTCATTGCAGAATTTGGTCAGGATAGAAAGCAAAGAAATCGTGGTGTCCCTTTAAATGAAGGTTTTAGGGCCTTTTCAATGTCCCGTTTGGACTTGTTGCATAAAGTTAATAAATGTTTTGTTGTCGCGAAATAGGGGTTTTGGTATCCTGTCACCAAATGGGCCAATCCAGGATTTCGTCAATCAAGTGCCACGGTATTGCAATTTCCCCTGGAATTTGTCGTCTATGTGATCTAAAGGTTTTGGGACCCTTTGAGGCATCCCTGGAGTTAGGCATCTCTGAAAGATACAGGTTATGACTGCCCAAAATGTGAAAAAAATGGTGCCACTTCGCCAAACATCGAAAAACGAGTCGATCAAGAATTTCGCCACATTGAAACGCACAAAAATTATCTTGAAATAAAGGTCAAGGTGCCCCGAAATGAACGTTCTGGTGCACCTCGCCTAAGGGACCGTTCCAGGCTCTGGTTTGGGGTGGGAGGCACAACATTGTTGTGGCTTGATATTGAGGGCTTGCGGTACTTCGGGTTGCTCTCTTGCGTTGGACGCCTCTGGACAATGAAGGCTATAGTGCGGAGAAATTAGTTTTAGTGCTCCATTGCCGAATGGGTCGATCCAGGATTTTGTCCATATGGATTGTAGTGCCCTGGAATTCGGTGACTCCCGAAAATGAAAATTTGGAACCCTTTGCGGTGTCTCTAAAACTTGGTGCCTTCTAGAAATAAAAGCTACGTGATTTGAAAACAAAGATTTTGGCATTCATTTACCCCAATATTTTGATGCCACGAGGGGCCACCAAAGCTTCATGAGCGGTTCCAGAAAGTGGGTAGCATGGCCCATGTTTTCTCCCACCCACCCTCAGCGTACACCCTTGTCCGTAGTATTCAATTATAAGCAGAATGAGACCATCAAATTTATACAGTCCAGGAGCATTGCCACCACGTCCTTCAACGCAGTATCTTCTTTAACCCCAGTGGCTGGTGCTTCCGGGGGAAGCCCAGCAGTCACTTCAAGTCACTGCCTTCCTTCAGCCTCCTGGAGCGGCCCCGAATCGGCACCATTTGTGGGCACGAGAGATGTCCGCTATTATAGAAAGGTGCTGTGGCCAGATGGCGGCTGGTTCTTCTCCAACAAATGATCTGTCTTTGCACGAAAAGCAAGTGCAAAATCGGTATACTATGAAGAAACATTGCTAAATGACAAATGTTCATCTGCTGCCTTTGCTCATAATCAAAAGATGAACTCTTGAGGATGAGCACATCTCGAAATATTGAGCACTGTCAAAATACTCCTGATAAAATGGACTTTGCTAATCCAACGTAAGAACTTTGAGCTCATAATGTCGACAAACCAGGAGATAAAGGACCTCCTTTCTTTTGTCAAGTCCAACTTATGACCGCAGAGTAAAGTGGACAAAATTCGTAAAGGTATGGTCCCCGGGTGTAGAGTGGACAAGGTTCATGGGCTTAGCTCCCGCTCCTCCCCCCCCCCCCCCCCCCTCCAATGAAAAATACAAAGATCCAACCCTGCAACCATGTTTCAGTTTTTCATCAGGCCCGGTGTCGCGGATACTTACACTACAACCGGCCATCCGTCTTTAAGCACTCCGTATCTTAACGTAACGTTGAGCTGACTAAGCGCGCCCACTGTCGGCAGCCATCCACGGCTACAACTTCTGCAAGGCGGCGCAGCAGGCGTTCGGCATCCTAGCCCGCAACGCGCTTCGAGTGGCAGCCATCAACAGCATCGGCTCCTTCGTGCTGTTCCTGGGCAAGCTGTCCGTCACCGTCTCCACCGTCTTCATCGGCATCGAGATCATGAAGGTGCGGCCGCATGAAGTGACAGCAATGAGGCTGCGTGATGCAGGCACCGTCACCAGAAGTCAGCGATCGTTGCTGTTATTTGGTCGCAGAGCGCAGTGTCGTTGAGGACATTCTCTGGATTCTCGGAACATGTCGTCGCTTGCGACAGGTCTGTGCATCGTACGCGGCGAGTCAAGGAGTCATTTTACTTTCAGGGTCGACCCGACGTCAAGCATAGCTATATCCTCATCGCAATAGGAGGCCTGTTTGCTTACATGATATCGTACGTCTTCATATCTATATATGAGGTAAGGAAGACAAGACCGATGAGGCCTTCCGTTTTCACAGGCACTTGTCCATCTATTACACTTGTCTTTTTGTCATCCTCACCTAACCTGCATGACATATCCGTCCGCATTATACCATGCATACACGTGCGCGGAGTTGCCATACAGTCTAGGTTTAATTTTCGCACAGGCTCATACCGTCACGAATGACTGGAGCGCGCAGGCCACCCAGCGGGTTGGCTGCAGAAAGTGAACCGTTTCCGGAATATTCGCCTTTAGCCCAGGCGTAAATTGGCAGGCAGTTGCCCTTTCATCGGGAGTCGCATACCCGGGCTACCCAGCCCAGCCGGGGACGCCGTTACGCATGCTCGGATGCCCGAGCGGGATCCCAGCCGGGGAGGCTATTACGCATGCTGGGGATGCCCGAGCGGGATCCCAGCCGGGCAAGCCGTTATGCATGCTCGGATGCCCGAGCGGGATGCCAGTCGGGGAGGCCATTACGCATGCTGGGGACTTCAGACTTGTTAAACTGGTACAAACACAAGTGCACTTACAAACTGGCATTGACCTGAAATGAAAGACGTGAGTTACACACCTCTGCCATCCAGCATGTTGCGCGACACACCGCAGCACATTGAGCAACACGTTACCTAGAACCACCGCCGATGTTTTAATCCGCTCGGATCATTCAGTGTGCTGCGGTTAACCTTGGAAAGGGGTAACATAGGCCAGGCGTGGGCTGACCGGGACTGATCGAGTTTGAGCGGTGCTGAGCGTGGTTAATCGGAGCCGCGCAGCGACGCCCGCCTGCGCGGCCCCCTGAATTGTCCACTGCGCCGCATGGCACTGGGACGCCGTCTCCGTTACAGATGGCTATAGACGCGCTCTTCATCTGCTTCTGCGAAGACTGCGACATCAACGATGGAGTCGAGAGGCCGTACTATATGAGCAAGGGGCTTATGGTACGTGCTTGAAAGTCGGGCGGCTCGCTTTTGCCATCGACAGATGGCCTGGGAAACGCAGGGTGTTGACAACGCTGGACAACGCCACGTGGTGTTGACTATCTACATCGTTAGAGAACGCCTTTTAGCAACCAAGCTGAGTGCCGCACAAACATTCCCACTAGTTAATTCGCACGACGTCTCCAGACCTGAAAATGTTCACAGTGCTGGCAGGCAAATAACCTCTTATTATGTGCAAACAGGTGTCGCAAACTCACTCTAATTTGAAGCTCGTTTTTCATCAACAACCATCGGGCACATCGATCCGCGCCGACGTTCCTCACCAACAAAACAGCTCTCTTATCCGAAAATAGCCTAAATGTTCTTCAGCAGCCTGCTACGTGAAGCAACGACTCACGCAGCCACTATTCCCGCGCGCAGGAGTTCGTGGAGAACAGCAAAACCGCGTTGGCGGCGCTCAAGTACAAGCCCGAACCCAACAACAACCAGCCTCCGCTGTTCGTGAAGAGTCCCGGCGCCCCGGGCTCCGACTCCTGAAGGGATTCCCGAGACTCGGAGACTCGGGACACTCCCGTGGCGTGGGATCATCGCAGCCGGCCGGTCGGCGGCAGCGACCGGGGGATGGACTGAAGCTGGCGCGGAGCCGTTGGAGCCCTTCCGTGATAGCGACCTAGGTGCCTTTCCTGTGTGCCTTCTGCGGTTCAGTCGGAGCGCTTAGTTATGCATTTTAGCCCTGTGTTAATTGCAAGGCCGGGCTGGTGAAACACGGTTCCCTTGCGTCATAGCAATGCACACAGGCTGGCGTCGAGATCGCAGGCGTGGATCTCGGATCTCACGGAAGCCGTTGGTATCTGGATCTGGCCCCGGGCCGTGAAGAGCGCTCACGGCATCGAGACACCTGTCTGTATGTATGCACATCTGTCTTCGCCGTTCCGATATCACTGTCACTGATTTGTTCGCGCACCTGGCACAGCCAAGTAAGCTGGTTTGAATAGTGTCATGCGCTATCGGGCATGCACTATATGGGCGTGCCTTGCTGTTGATGCCCAGTGCCCCTGGAGCTCACAGCTCCCCCAGTGTTAGCCGCGACCCGCGGTCGTTCGCGTCGGCGGATATATCGAGCACGTCGGCACACGCAGTCAACAAAAACCCTACGTCCCACGATATTTCGTAGCTGAAGCTTCCTCGTTATTCTGTTTAAATGGAACACGCTGAATTGGAACAGAAGGCAAAAACACCACTTCAGCGCTGCCGCTACTTTAAGCAGTCGTCACAGTTGTCCATTACAGTCGAACATGGCCGATGCATACACACATAGTGGGCCCCTTTATATATATATATATATATATATATATATATATATATATATACGTAAGCATGCACATGTTGGTATTGATATCGAATGATGTCCTTTATCTCCGAAATTATAAAATCTGAGAGCGTCGTGGTTCGGAGTCATTATTATATTACAATTTGATACGACGTACTATTCCATATACTAATAGGCAATACAGCTCAATGCAATGCTGGTGTTGGTTATCAACAGATTTAAAAGTTTGGTATTTGTCAAAATTCGGACCTTTTGTTTATTCGGACAACGCTCAAAGAGAATTGCCATCAACTTAACTTTTTCTATCAACGCACGCAAATTCTTTTAGTAATGTGCGTAGAGCTGGACAAAGTATCGTAAAACACGTTCCACGTGTCATGCTCGCAGGCATATCACAGGATTACTCAAACACGTAACCCACTATCATCCTATACTACAAATTTCATTACGACATTCGTTGCCGCAATCAGCGATCTTAACATACCCAAAGCCTTCACTGGTGCTTGTGGCATCCCAAGTGGAATGTTCAGTGGAAACGTCTGGCCCAAAATGCTGCTTACTCTGTGGTGGAGCTAAGACTTGGTCTGAAACCTGTTCAAACTTTAAGCCATGTCAAGTCTCTGCTATTTCAAGAACACATGTACTGGGTATGTGTGAATGAAATGACATTCCTGCAGTTCATCACAGACGCCGAGATCAGGGAACTGTTGGGCAGGGACTCGTTTTATGAAACCACATCTTTGTTAACAAGATATTATTCAAGCCAAGAAAATAGACGATGTTTTCAGTGTAATGTCGGTATTGCGTTGTGTTGTATTTACTCCAAAGAGCAATAAATTAGTGTTTATCCGAGTGTTAAATATCGAAGCTTTCCCAGAAGATATGAAGGACTTTTTGGCCATCATCCGTTGCACAACACCATCTGGTTAGTATCGGGAGGTGGCGCACCAGCCCGATGGCGGTACAGGCGACATGGGATGCAGACAGCGCGAATAACCAAGGTAATTGACACGTCCTGAAATAGCGGGCGGTATCTCCAGGCTCGGTCCCTGTGCGCAGAAAGGGTGAACCTTGGCGAACGGAGGGATTTGTCTGTGGCTTTCAGTATGAACGATGCCATGCCACTTCCAGTTTACTAGTGTGATGGGTTCCAATTACGCGCTGTGTCCTTACCACGACAGCAGAAGGGCCAGTACTGTTTTAATCGTTAAGCTAATAGGTTGTCGGAAATCACTCGGCACTTTTTCGTCGGAGACAAACCTCTTGCTCGAATGGATTTCTGGCATCAGCGCCCACTCTAAGCAGCACTTGTGTGGATCCTGACCCAAAACATTCTTACCCGGATTCACACTCAACCTCATCGCGTGGTAGTGACACCGGCGGCTCGTCGGTCCGCTTTCTTCAGTCATGACCCCGTCTCCTTGGGAGCGTGGTGCGACCTTGGGCCCAAGCTGCTGCCAGACGGCGGCGCTGGCGGGGATTCCCCGCCAGCAGCGGCGCCGGTCCCGAGGATGGCTCGCTGCGCGGGGGCACGCTCGGCAGCCGAGGTGACCCGGACGGTCGCAGTGGCGTGCCGCCGCTCATCTCGGCCGCCGGGCATGCGGCATGACGGGCACTGTGACGGTCACATCAGCTTTCAGTGGAATTTGTCCAGTTGTAACGTTTCGCCCCGGCTGTTGCGCCACAACTTTTCTTAGCATTTTCCGCTCACGCTTTCCGCTCTCTCCTTGATTCCAGCGCTCCGAAATTGCCACTACTGGCCGGAAGCCGTCCACCAAATGAAGCCAAAAGACTGGCGGCTGGCTGTGCTGACTGCTCCCCATCCGTCATTCCAACCGAGCGCGTTAGACCGGACGGCGCTTCGCTTGCCAAAGCCGGCACCACGGTCGGCATCGGCTAACCGGCTGCGGCCAGCTAACCCGCCGCAAAGCCAGCGATTGGCCGGTTGGCGGTGCCCGTTGCGTCCCCGCCTCACCGGAGCGGAGGCTTAGCCGCCGTGACCGGTCACCGTGCGGTGGGCACCGGTCGCGCCGGCACCTGATAACGCCGGCCGACGCCGCTGCGGCCGCATCAGAGCGCTGAGTGACGAGCTGGTCGCGGACACATGCTGCTCCTGCTGGTACGTACCCGCCTGTCTTCGGCCTGACGCTGGGCTGCGCCGGGGAAGGCTGTGTTAAGAGGGCCGATGCTTTGGTAGATCGCGTGGGAGAGGTCTCCACGACCAATGATTCATTTACCCGGTTCACCCACCACCTTTGGAGTTGTGCTCGTACCCACCCCCTGCCCATTCCGTGTAAGTTGTACTCACCCGTTAACTACCCGTTTGCATTGGTTTCCAGCACCCTAATTCTAAATTACGAACGGGTTTCAGAAAACTTTGGAGTGAGGCTTACTCGTGCTTGTAAAGATGGGTTAAACAAAACGAATTATCATACAAGTATAAGCGCTCAGTAGAATTATGCAGTACTTCATAAGCTATGTGTCCGACATTTCGGGAACTTCTTACCCAGGTCCGCAATTTCCTCAAAATCTTCACACAGCCCAACCAGTTACCCATTCCATATAGGTACCACGGAGTTATCCAAGCCGTCCAGTCCCTTATCGCTTGGGAGATGAAGCTGCACTTTCTCATCACAGCGGTGTCGCGAGGGTATTGAGCTGGGTGATTTTTCACGCACATGCGGGTGAAGTCAGGGCAGTTTCTGCTTGCTGCGAATAGTGCAAAGCCAACAGCGCACTTGTAACCCGTGCAAGCCTCCGATATGGGCACATGGCAGGTCTGGTGCACGGTAGTTAGCACTGTCTCCACCGGATGATTAAACACCATGTCGAGCCTGGCACGCACATCGACATGTCGGCCAACATTGAATTGTGGCCATGTCTGCGTCAGAGACATGTACATCTGCAATGCTGCTTGACCGATTGTGCGCTTGTGACTGATACGTGGACACGTATATGAGATTGTCTTCCGGGAGCTGCCTCCACACAGGGACGCAGAAACTTGCGGAGAAGTGGGATGACAAAACGCCTTTTGAACTCCCTTTTTCATGCATCACCCCAGCACGCATGCTTTCGCGAGTGGTTCTGGGCGTGGGTCCTTCGAGCCCCCACCCCATCGCCCATGCCCATGGTTCCCACCCCTGTCACCGGTTCGAACGTGGCAGGACTCTGTCCAGTCTCTTCAAAACCGGACTGCTGGCCGGCTTGAGCATCCGCACGACGCTGTTGGCTTTGTGACGAAACGACTATGACCCCGACCAGCTGCACATGTGAAAGTATGGAACTGTCGCAATAATTCACCTCCGGCGCGCTAGTCCACGATAGATGGCGTTGCGTCAATATCATCGACCGCAAGCAGCTGCTTCGCCGTGGTAGCTTAGTCATTTCACAAGCCCCACGCACGCCACTGGCCGCCGTTTGCATCACAAATGGAGAGTAACGGTCCACTTGGCCGCTACTTGGGGCCCCGCCATGAATTTGATGAGAGCTTATTTTGTAATGCACACTATTCATGATGTTGAAGCGCCCCGTTTTCCAATCCTACACTGAGCTTCACACTAGATAGTTTAAAGCTTGAAGTTTTGTTAAAAGCAAGAACAAATGAGGCGCGTCTCGTGCACTACATTCATCCGCCGCAAATCCTGGTCGCGGCTTTACTGCGTTAGTTAATATCTGCTCTCTCGGCCCGGCCCAAACCCGCGCAGACCCGCCCCAACCCTGTCGCCGGCTTCTCCGGCGCCGGTGCTGCATGGATTCAAACTGATCTGGATGGGGGTGTGCGCATGAACTGGTTTGACCTCCGGCGGCCAAAAAACCGTTGACCGTAGACATCAACAAGAGGATTCGTGTTATGCACCATCCGATCAGGAATATTGTCCGAATTCCAAAATGCCTTCCAAATGCCGTAGTAGAGCGAACAAATGACACATTATAAGCCATCTCTTAGAATAATCAGTCTGCTTTGAAGGGAGCCTTCCGCTTTTATTGAGAGCCTTGAACTGAACTAATCACCTTGAAGGTTTTGTGGTGCAGTTCATAACCCTGTCCTTCCTAAGACCTAAACCCGTCTGGTTTCAGAGCTATACGCCCATTAAGATGTGCATACTTTTTCGGGAAACTAATTCAGGGTCACCCGAGCACCATGACGTCATAATAACATCGCTGAAAATCCTGCCATCCTTTCGCCAACGTGGCGAATCAACGCCAATAAAAAAAATAATTGTCGAGTCGTTCATGTCTGGCGTTCGTGGCACGATTTCCAGATGTACCGACCGTCAATCGGCCTCAATCAATGTTTTACAAGGTACGATGACGCAATCAACAACGACACAGTGGGGAACATATTTACTTTGTAGAAAATTGCGTTGCCCAGAGCAGTCTTTTCCGCTTAAAAGCATACAACAGCCTCAAGTAAGCTTATTTCATCACAGCTGATGCTTACTTCGATATAGCCAGATGCGGAATACCCGCTTAATTCCGTACGAGGCTATGGCTCTGGAAAATCCTGCACTCTTCGATGCTGCAAAGATTGCTGCCAAAAGTAGAAACATACGAACTTACGTAAGCAACCCCTTTTCACGTATGTTCACTCGTTTAGGGACATTGAAATATGTAACTCTTGAGGTTACCGGGCATCATCAATATCCGAGACATCATGAGACGATTCACCGGGATCAATTTTGGCGAAAAGTAGGGCACTAGATATCCCATGACAGAACCAGTATCAAAATATCTCACATCAAGCGATGATCCTCGTGAGGAAGTGTGGCACATTTCGATCATAATGAGCGCGTCCGCCATACCGCCACGATGGCTTCGAAGAATGACGCCTGGTACTTGCTATAGTCGAATTACAAGGCTGCGAAATAGCCAATTTATGACCTAATACGTTATATACCAGAGTTGACTCCAGCACTCATCCCTCTGGCTCCAAAAATCAAAAACACTTCTAGCTACTTCAAAAGCCCTATAGGTATTTCAAGGGCTTTCA